AATACATTTGAAGATACTTTCTAATTTTTCGTTCTTGGATCATTAATAAGTGATTGACGTTTGGGGATGACAAATTATTAAACTGATGATAATTGGACAATGCCGATGACGGTCATGGATGAGCGTCGGCGTTGCTCGCGAGCCGCTCGTCCCGAGCAATCGCAACGCAATGGAAAATGATAACTATGGAACGAGCATTTCTTCGAAGGAATCCCTCCTTCGTCCGTGGCGGGGGGGAGAACGACACGATGGTCGGGTTCTGGAGCGCAGCGAGGTTTGGTCGACAGGCTTCCCCGTCGAGGCGTTGTACGAGAGGGTTGAGGAGGTGGAGGTTCTCGAGAAGTCCGATGGCCGGCGGGGATCGGGCCCTCGACCTGATTGTCAAAGAGAGATCCGGAGCGCGGAGCTCGACAGCACCGAAGACGGTGTCCGGGAGGGACGGGTGCCGCGTCGAGGGAGTCGTCGGAAAGGTCGAGGGTGCGCAGGTATGTGAGCATGCTCGTGTCGGAGGGGATCGAGCTGGCGAGCCAAGCCGCGAGCCCCCGGAGGGAGGGAGAGGCCGCGGTGTCGTTACCGAGGGGGCGCCGCCGCACGTGACGCCGGACCACGAGCACGGCGCGCCGCCGCCGCCGCCGTAGCTCCAGGTGGCGAGCGCGTCGACGGAGGAGACACGAGAAAATATCGGGTACCTCTCGAAGGAGACAGCTTCGTCCGCGGCCTACAAGACGAAAACAAAGAAAAACAATTGGAGAAGAGAGAGACTAACGAAGGAGAGAAAAAAATTTGACAACAGGGTCTGCGTGTGCGACACATGTCGCGTTGTCGCATAGTGAGTGGGACACGTGAACGGATAACGTGACATCACTATGGTACCTAACATTTTCTTATATACGATAGAAGGGCCGATTGACACCCGCTTTTATGGACTTTTCTCTGGTGCATTTTCTAAATTACTATGCTAAGCTTGTGACAATGGGAATGCAATTTCAATTTCTCGATCTCCATAAGTACTTAAAATTTTCTGAAAAAATATATTACAAAATGCATCTCATCTTTTACCTAACGATCACTTACGTATCTCTCCCTTTAACAATATCAAATGTATATACCTGACTATTACTTTTGAGATCACTACACATTCTCATCAGTTATTCTTGCACCACCATTATAAAATTGTCGATTTTGTTTTCCAAATATATCCATCCTCAAATCTCAAATTCTCACAACCACCCAAAACACTCACAACCAACTACAAGCTGAATCACTCAAAAGCTAAGTAAAATGGTAAATGAATTTACAATGAGTGACTATTTCATTTTTTCAATATGAGGTTTTATTTAGAGATATGTAAATGATATTTGCAAGAATAGAGATATATAAGTGACCATTAAATTAAAAATGAGATATGGTTTTTTTTATATTTTTCTAAACCTTCGATCTACTCATAGTGGTGAACTTTTCGTCTTTTTTCCGATATTTCAATGCATATGTCATCTTCAATCTCATCTTTGGATAGTGTCACACAATCTCTTCCTTTATGTGGTTAAGGGAAATTTACCTAAAAAGTCGTAAACATATTACACTTTTACCAATTTAACCATAAACCTTTTAATAATGTCAATTGAGTCCTAAACATTTTCACGTTTTGCCAATTTAGTCTAGTTGTGCCATGTAAGACGGTCGACATCCACATCAGCGATTTCTACCAAAATTGATCGGATTGACTCAATTGGCAAAACGTAAAAAAATTTATGACTCAATTAACACAATTAAAAAATTTGGAACTGAATTAACAAACGTGCAATAGATTTAACAGTTTTTTTGATAGTTTTCCAGCTTTGTGGTTAATGGTAATAATTTTAGGTATCATCTAACAAATTTAATTTGCTCTTGTCGCGTTGGCCGACGAGAGATATTTTCTCTCTCACCCACGATTTTCATCCGACGTCATATGTCCATATCTGGCTCGATATCAGGTCATGCATGTTCTGTCCACAAACTCATGCTTTTGGTCTAGAATGGATACAAAACAAAAGTCACCGTTGGAGTAGAAAAATAGGCATTGCATGCAAGTGCACAAAACTCAGATTGTTACCAGCAAATCGCAGCATCCCACAATCGATTCCTGCAGTCCCATGGACATCCCTCAGGAAATGCATGTCGTTCTGGCTGTAGTTTTTTCCCTCCTGGTGCTCCGCATCGTTCACCATCTTGTCAAATCCGACAACGAAAAGACCGCCGGAAGCCAAACCCCGGAACTGCGCGGGGCGTGGCCTCTGGTAGGCCACCTCCACCTCCTCTGGGGCCCGGGGCCGGCCTTCCGGAAGCTCGGGGCAATGGCCGATGCACTCGGGCCTGTGTTCTCGCTACGGCTCGGCGTCCACCGCGTGGTCGTCCTTAGCAGCCGGGAGGCCGCCAGGGAGTGCCTCACCACAAACGACCGCGCGCTCGCCTCGAGGCCGGACATCGCGGCGGGCCGGTACATGGGCTACAACAGTGCTGTGCTCGGGCTCGCCCCCTACGGCCCCTACCTCCGCCTCATCCGCAAGATCGCCACCCTCGAGCTCTTCTCGAGCCAGCGCCTCCAGGCGCTGCACCCCGTCAGGAGCTCCGAGGTCGATGCCCTCACCAAGGAGCTGTGGCATCGACCCGCCAGCGGCGGAGTGGAGATCGGCGAGAAGTTGGAGCACATGACGTTCAACATGAACCTGAGGATGATAACCGGGAACAGGTACGAGGACGAGGAATTCGAGGAGGTCGGGTCGGACGCGTGGAGGTTCAAGAAAGCGATCCACAAGGCCCTGTATCTTTGCGGGGTGTTCGTGCTCTCGGACGCGATTCCGTGGCTGGAGTGGCTTGATTTTCAGGGGCACATGAGGTCCATGAAAGAGACGGGCCGAGAGCTCGACGCCGTGCTCGAGAAGTGGCTGAGACAACACGTTGAGAAGAGATCAGAGAAAGGGATCCGAGCTGATGGTGGTCACGCCGATTTCATGGACCTTCTGTTGGAGAGCCTGCCCGAGGACGACGTGGTGTTTGGCCACGAGCGTAATGACATCATCAAAGCCACAGCTTTGGTATTAGTTTCTGCGTTCAGTTATTATTGTTTCGTAAATACTTTGAGATTATACCGCATGAACAAATATATTTGCTTGATGCAGCCACTCCTGATTTAAAAGTCTGAAAAACTTTTCTGGACCTCGTCTAGGGAAGACGAGTCTTCAACTCCGGCACTGTTCATGAAAAAATTATTTTTGTGATTCTCTATATACTGAAAAAAACTGTACTTTCTTAGATTTTATGAGTCGTATGGAAGAAATCTTGTTGACTGTTTAAACAAGTCAATTATCCCCTCATGTTCTTGAATCCGCTTATCAAGCGTCCACTGAAGATTGGCGATCGCATCCATGTATGATTCTCAGTTTACTTCTCCGTTATGACACCTCTCTCTCTCTCTCTCGATCTGCAGATCCTGATGCTAACTGGGACAGAGAGCACATCCATCACAATTACATGGGCACTCTCCCTCCTCCTCAACCACCCGGCCACACTCAAATCCGCCCAGCAGGAGCTCGACACCGTCATCGGACGAGACGAATGGGTCCGAGAGTCCGACATTAGCAATCTCAAATACCTCCAAGCCATCGTCAAGGAGACCCTCCGCTTATACCCGCCAGCTCCCTTGACGGGGATCAGAGAAGCCATGGAGGACTGTCACATCAGCGGCTGTCATGTTCCCAAGGGCACTCGAGTGCTCGTCAACATTTGGAAGTTACAAAGGGACCCTCGGGTCTGGCCGGAGCCCGACACGTTCCGGCCGGAGCGGTTCTTGGAGGAGCACAAGGAAGTAGACCTGAGAGCTCAGAACTTCGAGTTCATTCCGTTTAGCTCGGGAAGGAGGTCTTGCCCGGCGGCCACACTCGGGTTGCAGGTAAGAATCGCTTCTGGCATGATTCTCACGCTTCTATGAGAGGACGAACTCAAGAGTGACAAAAAATTAACATTGTTCTGGTAATCACGCGATTGACTAGAATTGGACTTAGATCAATGGTCGGGTCGGATACATGACCTAAATATCCTTGATTCGGCCCGTCTATGAACCGGGCATGGGCGAGGCTGTGAGGGCCTACATTAGCGGGCTTGAACCAAGAAAGAAAATGCTTAAGCAGGTTCGTTATATTGTGCTCCGAGCCTTATTGGCTCGAGTATATGTCTGATAGGACTCAACGACTCGGAGGACCACATTCTAGTCTAATATGAATACATAAACTCGATTTTGACACGTGAATACGAATTGCAGGTGGTTCAATTCACACTAGCACGGATCCTTCAGGGATTCGAGGTGACATTGGAACAGGGGGCGAGGGTGGACATGGAGGAAGGGCCAGGCATTTCCCTGCCCAAGGTGAACCCACTCCGAATTGCGCTCAAGCCACGCCTTCCGCTTCATCTCTACGAGAGCCTCTAAAGTGGAGGGGATAACAATAATATGATCCAGCTTATTTATGATAATTATGAATACCTCCCTTGTTGTAATGATTATCGTTTAGTATTTCAATGTAATCAAAGAAAATGGTTCCTTTTCCTTTTTTCTCTTCTTTTTTACGCTGGAATGTATAATGAATAATGGACTAAATAAAAAGGATGTTGTGAAAAAGCACCAGGGCCTCGTAAAAAAGTATCAATTTTACTTTGTGATTTGTGTTTTTTTTTTTATGTACCACGTGTTAGAAAGAGACATTTATTCGAATTTTCGATGTCCTTTAACATGTACTGGAAAATTGTTCTTCCTATCTTTAGGTTCTTATTGAGTGCAAAAAGATATTTGTTAAGAAGGATCCTAAGTAAAATGGGTTTTCCATTAGGGAAAAGACTACCAAAAACCTCAAACTATGCCACTTGTAACAAATTTACCCTAAACTTTTTTTTGTGATACGAAAAACCCCAAATTATGCCACTTGTGACACATTTACCCCACTATACTTTGACAAATTATTCAACTCATTTGACAAATTTCCATCTACAGAGATGAGCTCCGAATAGATACTTGCAATGCCATCTGCTATTGCAATCACCAGATCTTCTAAAATGGAAATCCCCTGTGAGACAAACAAGCAACTGTTGTAATAGCAATCCTTCCTGCCAGTCCATTGAGAGAGGTATTAGAATGGCGTCCAAACAGTTCTGCAAATGAAGTGCTATGAAAAGAGATAACATTAATGATGGGGAAAGGCTGCACCGAGTGTTGTAAAAAAGCAAGGCAGCAGGAAGCAAAGAAGCATGTATAGCTTGCAGTAACACCATGACATGTCCAGAAGGGAGAAAAACAGAGAGAGCGCATTGGGATTACCCTGCCATACATGTGAAGGAAAACAAGATATACAATCTTTATCTATGTTAATGCCTTCCAATGACATATTACTTCGCTTCCAGGTTCATAATTATGGAACATAGCAAATTGGAACTGTAAGCAGTTAATCATCGGCAGATATTGTTATTTGGTATAAGATGTCCCCATTATTTTCTCTCTCTCTCTCTCTCAATATATATATAGTTATTTGGTATTAAAGATGTCCCCATTACCTGTAAAGTCCACGAGTCCACACAACTGTCAACAAGACGATATACTGAAGCCTATCATAACCCATAAAGTTTAAGACATCTTCCTTAAGCCAGTAAAACCACCCACATTAAAAGAGTTCGAGATTATGTTTTTAACTTCATCTCAGGTTCCAGGAACCAGCAGTCTTAGCTAGTTCGCGTCTTTCATGAACTAGCTACTCCATGTTAGCGGTTTCAAGTATGCTTTCGGTTTAATTTCATTAAATACTTGAACCAACAGAGAGCGCCATCTACCTGAGAGAACCAAACTTTAAAAAGCAGAGTAATAATTATGCAAAAAGATCCTCCTTGCCCAATCTCCTGATCTTCTGAAGTACGGCGCTCTGTCCTTCTAATTTCTGGAGAATCAAAGTAACTAGTGCCTGACAAGATGAAGAATGGGGCGTCAATCAACATGAAAGTTAAACATGAGAATATACCCATGCAAGCAGATGAGAGTGCATGTCTACCCACACCGAGTTGAATAACTTGGAAGGCACCTCTTTGACATCGCTGCTTCTTTCAGAAAGTTTATTGTCTAGCCAAGCCACACACACGGGGCGAGAGGAACTCTGTATGATTTCAGAAAACAGAACCAACCAATCTTCCAGAGTCCCATTTTGAAAACCTTCTGGGATGCTGTTCACCTGCAAAAATATATAACATTGGTGAATCCTTCGGTCACAACACAGCCACATATTTCAGCTAAAATAGCGACTTCCAGGAATTGCAGAGTGACTTGAGACTACTGACTGTAGCATAATGTGACAAATAAGAAGTCAAAGCCGGCATTGGGGTTGGGCGAGGGCGACCCTCGCCGGCGTCGGGCGAGAGTCGCCCTCGCCGGACGAGGGCTGCCCTCGCCGGCTTCCCTCTGCCATGGCCGGCGGAGGGAAGAGAGAAGAAAGGAAAAAAAAAATAAAAAGGAAAAAGACGAAAATGCCCTTGGGCCAAAGTATTGTGAGATAAATGTATCACAAGTGGCATAATTTAGATTTTTTCGTATCACAAAAAATAGTTCAGTGTAAATTTATCATAAGTGACATAATTTAGGGTTTTTGATGGTATTTTCTCTTTCCATTAAAAGGTTAGACGGTCTTCCAGATAGATGAAATTATCAACCGGTCTTAGCGCATCCGATCTATGGGTCAAGAGGACAATTTTTCGCAGAAAAGGTTGTTAACGCATGGAGAGACTTCCAATGTACCATTACTCGGGTCATGAAAATAGTATCATCGAGCTAGCTCGCGAGTCGTGTGTGCACGTCCGCCCGCAAGCAACGCAGATTAGATTCACTCCGTACTCATCAATTCAAGGACGAGATGGCACAGTCCAGTCTCTGATAATTGCCCGTTTTCCCCTCCACTCCAGTGACTTGAATCGTGAAGTTTCGTAGCTAATATCTTCTTTATCACATCATCGAATTCCCTAGTCCTCCGGATGATATGCAAATCCGGCTGGCTCGCGTCTACTGGGCCTGAAGCGATTGGGCTGATCCCGAGGCTCACGGGGAGTGCCGAACCTGCACACCACAAGCAAGGAAGCCTCCCCAGTTTTGCCCCAACCTGGGTTGTCTCGGTCTTCAACGCATCTCGTACACGCTCGGATGGGAAAAATTGTCAGGCCAATCTGGTCGGACGGACTAAATTAGTAAGACGTGAAAAGATTTAAGAATGGACATTCTGATCATAAAAAAATTTATAACATAATTGATAAAAGTATAATAAATTTAAAATTTTTTGGATAATTTTTTTATAGTTGGTTGTTAATGTTGTGGAGCTTGTGGTGGAGGTTTTGTCCGCGTTACTTCGTACAGCGGGGTGAGCCCGGGGTACTTTTGTTGTGTCCCAGCAGTGCTGGATGATTTTCTTTTGCGTGTATTGATCTCCGTGCCATGGGGCTGTTGGATTTGCCTTCTTGAGTCCTCACCATCCACTCCTTTTCTAAAGGATTGATTGATTGATTGAGTGAGTGATCGAGCCAATAATGTACGGGCGACACATGTGATCGTGTGAGACACGTGAGGCGGCTGAAAGACGGTAGCACTTTAACTTCATGCCAATTTATGCCGATTATGGATTATGGATTCCGTGAGACATGTGCCTCGCTTAAGACATGTGTCTCGTGTGTCATGCATGTCTTGCTTGATATTATTGATTCGTTTCAAGTCGTGTTACTGTAAGAAATTAATACTCTTTGCTAGACATGCTAAAAATAGCACCTTAAGTTCATGCCAATTTATGTCGATTCCGGATTATGGATTTGTGTATAAGCTATATATAAAATAAGTGGAATTTTAGATAAGTGCATTTTTAAAGAAGGAAATAACACTAAATAAGATGTGGACAAGCATGTTTCAAACTAAGTTGCAATTTTTATTATGATAAAAATTTATCGAATATCTAGTGAAGTTTATTCAAGTAATAAAATAAGTTATTGCTCATATTATTTTAATCTGTTGTTGAATTGAATGGATAAATAATTCATTTATTCGAGTAATTAACAATGCTATACTTCAAATTATGAGAATTATCTATCTAGTACAATGGATTTCTCTTTCTGACTTAATTTCCAATTAAATGCATCAAACTCATATATTTGAACTACTTTGTCTATCTCTGTTTTTTTTTCAATTTAAAATCAATAAGATAAATAGAAAGATATAGATGTTTGGAAAAGACAATAGAAATATATTTCAAGATATTTTAATTTATCTATTTTGTTGGTCAAATACATTTAAAAATACATTTGAAGATATTTTCAAATTTTTCGTTCTTGGATCATTCAATAAGTGATAAACGTTTGGCGATGCGGCACAATTTATTCCGTAAGGCATGCTAGTGTGGCAATGAAAGAGGTAAAGTTAGGTTCCACGTGGTGAGCACGAGAGCGAATATTCTCTCAATTCTGACTTAAACTAAATATGATAGACGAGCCAATTGACACCCACTTTTTTGAACTTTTCTCCGATGCATTTAATTTTTTTCTAAACTACTACGCTAAGCTTGTGACAGTGGGAATGCAATTTCAATTTCTAGATCTCGATACACACATAAAAACTTTTGGAAAAAACTTTAAAAATGCATCTCGTCTTTCACCTAAGGACCACTTATATAAATATATATATATATACTTTTAAAAATATCAAATACATGCCTGACTTTTACTTTGGAGATCACGTTACGCGTTCTCGTTAGTTATTCTTACGCCCCATCATAAAAATGTCGATTTTGTTTTCCAAATATACCCATACTCAAATCTCAAATTCTCATGCCAATCCAAAACACTCGCAACCAACTACAAACTGAATCGCTCAAACCCTACTTAAAATGCTAAAAAGAGTTTACAATGAGCGACTATTTGGTCTTTTCAAAATGAGGTTTTATTTAGAGATATTTAAATGGTATTTGCAAGAACATAGATATATAAGTGACCATTAAATTAAAAATGCAGTATGTTTTTTTTGTATTTTTCTAAACTTTCAATCTGCTCATCGAAAATGTTTGACCCACTCTTAGGGGCAAACTTTTTGTCTTTTTTTTTTTTATATCCGAATACATATGTCACCTTCAATCTCATCCTCAGATCAAGTCGCACGGTCTCTTCCTTTGAGTGGTTAAGGGAAAATTATCAAAAAAATTCTAAACTTATGGCACTTTTGCCAATTCAGTCATAAATCTTTTAATTGTGTCAATTAAATCCTAAACATTTTCACATTTTGTCAATTGAGTCTCTCCGGCCAATTTTGACCAGAAATCATTGATATAGACGCTAGCCGTCCCACGCGGTATGGCCGGCGCTAACATGGATAATTTTAATAATATTTTTTGTAAAATTTATTATCTTTTCTTTTTTTTATTTTCTTCTCTTTTCTTTTTTTCTTTTTTTTAACTATGGCTGGTGAAGGGGCTCGTGGTCCTTACCCGCACTCGCCGGCCACAGTTAAAACAAAGAAAAAAAATAAAAAATTAATTAAAAAATTCGAAAAAATATTAAATTATTATCACAACTGTCTACGTCAGCGCCAATCATGCTACGAAGAATGTCTAGTATCTATGTCGGCGATTTCCGGTCAAAATTGACTGGATAGATTCAATTAGCAAAATGTGAATATGTCTAGGATTGAGGACTAATTTTTCCGGGTGGTTAATGGTCATAATTTTAGGTACTATCTAACAAATTTGCTCTTGTCAGTGATGACCGCCGTATCATAGGATCCGTCTAATCAAAAGGGTATTGTCTCACCCACGTTTTTCATATAATGTCACTTGTCCGTATCTAGCTCGACATCACGTCATGCATGTTCTGTCCACAAACTCATGCATTTGGTCTAGAATGGATACAAAACATAAGTCATCGTTGGAGTAGATAAATAGGCATTGCATGCAAGTGCACAACACTCAGATTGTTACCAGCAAATCGCACCATCCCACAGTCGATTCCTGCGGTCCCATGGACATCCCTCAGGAAATGCATGTCGTTCTGGCTATAGTTTTTTCCCTCCTGGTGCTCCGCATCGTTCACCAACTTGTCAAATCTGATAACGAAAAGACCGCCGGAAGCCAAACCCCGGAACCGCGCGGGGCGTGGCCTCTGGTAGGCCACCTCCACCTCCTCTGGGGCCCGGGGCCGGCCTTCCGGAAGCTCGGGGCGATGGCCGACGCGCTCGGGCCGGTGTTCTCGCTCCGGCTCGGCGTCCACCGCGTGGTCGTCCTTAGCAGCCGGGAAGCCGCCAGGGAGTGCCTCGCCGCGAACGACCGCATGCTCGCCTCGAGGCCGGACATCGCGGCTGCTAGGCACATGGGCTACAACCGTGCCCTGTTCGGGCTCGCCCCCTACGGCCCCTACCTCCGCCTCGTCCGCAAGATCGCCACCCTCGAGCTCTTCTCAAGTCAGAGCCTCCAGGCGCTGCGCCCCATCAGGAGCTTTGAGGTCGACGCCCTCACCAAGGAGCTGTGGTGTCGACCCGCCGGCAGCGGAGTGGCGATTGGCGAGAAGTTGGAGCACATGACGTTCAACATGAACCTGAGGATGATAACCGGGAACAGGTACGAGGACGAGGAATACAAGGAGGTCGGGTCCGACGCATGGAGGTTCAAGAAAGCTCTCAACAAGTCCTTATATCTTTTCGGGGCGTTCGTGCTCGCGGACGCGATTCCGTGGCTGGAGTGGCTTGATTTTCAGGGGCACGTGAGGTCCATGAAAGATACGGGCCGAGAGCTCGACGCCGTGCTCGAGAAGTGGCTGAGACAACACGTTGAGAAGAGATCAGAGAAAGGGATCCGAGCTGATGGTGGTCACGCCGATTTCATGGACCTTCTGTTGGAGAGCCTGCCCGAGGACGACGTGGTGTTTGGCCACGAGCGTAATAACATCATCAAAGCCACAGCTTTGGTATCAAGTCCTGCGTTCACCTATCGTCATTTCTTATCTAGTTTGAGATTATACAGCATGAACAAATACATTTGCTTGATGCAGTCCACCAAATCTCACATCAATTATCCCCTCATGTTCTTGAATCTGCTTGTCAAACATCCATTGAAGAATTGCGATCGCATCCATATATGCTTCTCAATTTGCTTCTTCACCATGACACCTCTCAGTCTCTCTCACTTTCTCTCTCTCTCGACCTGCAGATGCTGATACTAACTGGGACAGAGAGCACATCCATCACGACTACATGGGCACTCGCCCTCCTCCTCAACCACCCGGCCGCACTCAAATCCGCCCAGCAGGAGCTCGACACCGTCATCGGACGAGACGAATGGGTCCAAGAGTCCGACATTAGCAATCTCAAATACCTCCAAGCCGTCTTCAAGGAGACCCTCCGCTTATACCCACCAGCTCCCTTGACGGGGATCAGAGAAGCCATGGAGGACTGTCACATCAGCGGCTGTCATGTTCCCAGGGGCACTCGAGTGCTCGTCAACATTTGGAAGTTACAAAGGGACCCTCGGGTCTGGCCGGAGCCCGACACGTTCCGGCCGGAGCGGTTCTTGGAGGAGCACAAGGAAGTAGACCTGAGAGCTCAGAACTTTGAGTTCATTCCGTTTAGCTCGGGCAGGAGGTCTTGCCCGGGGGCCACACTCGGGTTGCAGGTAAGGATCGCTTCTGGCATGATTCTCACGCTTCTATGAGAGGACGAACTCAAGAGGGACACAAAAATTAACGTTGTTTTGGTAATCACGCGATTGACTAGAACTGGACTTAGTTCAATGGTCGGGTCGGGTCAAGTCCTTGACCTAAATGGTCCTCGATACGGCTCGTCTGTGAACCGGGCCTGGGCAAGGCTGAGACGACCTATATCAACGGGCTCAAACCAAGCAAGAAAATGCTTAGGGCAGGTTCGTTATACCGCGTTTCGAGCCTTATCGGCTCGAGTATATGTCTGACGGGACTCAATGACACGTAGGACCCACATTCGAGCCTAACTTGAATACATAAACTCGACTTTGACACATGAATACGAATTGCAGGTGGTTCAATTCACACTGGCACGGATCCTTCAGGGATTCGAGGTGACATTGGAAGAGGGGGCGACGGTGGACATGGAGGAAGGCCCGGGCATTGCCCTACCCAGGGTGAACCCGCTCCGAGTTGTGCTCAAGCCACGCCTTCCGCTCCATCTCTACGAGAGCCTCTAGGTGGAGGGGATAATGATAATATGATCAAGCTTATTTATTATATGATTATGAATACCTCCCTTCTTGTATTTTATTTTCGTTTAGTATTTCAATGTAATTGAAGAAAATGGTTCTTTTTCCATTTTCTTCTTCTTTTTACCTTGGAAATGTGTAATGAACAATGGACTAAATAAAGGGGATTCCGCTAAACTAGCTCCATACAGCACTGGATAAAAAAGTACTAATTATACTTTGTAATTTGTGTTTTTTTTTAATTCATGACCCGTTAGAAAGAGACATTCGTTCGATTTTTCGATGTTCCTTAATGTGTACTAAAAAATTGTTCTTCCTATCTTTATGTTCTTATCGAGTGCTATCAAAGATATTTGTTAATAGGATCCTAAGTAAAATGGGTTTTCAATTAAAAGGTTGGACGGTCTTGCAAATAGATAAAATTATCAACCCGTCTTAGCGTATCGGATCTGTTGGTCAAGAGGACAATTTTTGTAGAAAAAAGTTGTTAACGCGTGGAGACACTTCCTAACTGCTAGCTTCCCGGTGGGGCTGCAATGAATGACTCGCTGACCACCATCGCAAGTGGGGTGTTGCTAGCACTATGAGAGTAAAAGCATGTTGTAAATCACAAATTCTTGAAAGAGTAGACCTCATTATAATTTTTAATTATTAGTTATTTATTTTTTTGTAATCCAGAACTTGCGGTTAATCTCATAGTAGATTGAGGACAGTCACCTAATCATTTCTCATTCGAAATAATTTTGGCTCAAACCAAATATTTCGTAGTGGGTTTAGGATCCTTATAATAAGGCCCGAAAAAGGCCGCTAGCGCTGCTTACCCTTGTTAAGGAGGAAAAAAAAAAAAAGAACATGTGATGTGGCTAATTATCAGCACGTGCGGCATTTGAAGTGCTTAAATCAAAGCCATTTAACAAAAGATGTTGGCCATTTTATTTAATAAATTCGAGCTACCATCTCTAGGACGGGGCCGTATGCACAAGGCCCATGATCAATGTTCATCTTTTGTGCATTACGACGGACAAAATAAAGGAGGTAGAGAGCAGTCATCCATTTGATTGGCAGGACACGTAATTTAAATCATGTAAAACGTTTAAGTGACAGTCCTTGATCTAATGCGAGATTAACAGCATATTCAGAGATCACAAAAATAATTAATAAATAATTATAAATTACTGTGGAGTTTACTTTTTTAATAATTTGTGACCCAAAACTACTAATCTCACGTTGGCCCAAAAATTATGATGCTAGCGAAGCCCGTTATCATAGTGTTGTCTGTCAAAACAAATTACAGCTGGAATTTCAATATCCATAAATGGAGCGGGGAAAAGAAGGGAGAAAAAAGAGGAAGGAAATGATCATTCCTTTCTCTTATAATAAATATAATCATTTTTTTTAAAAAAGGAAAAATTGGGGGGACTCGTACGGACAGTTCAGCTTCCTAACGCTACGAGAGTATATATATACACGGCTAAAGCCCTTCCGATCGTCTCTCTCTCTCTCTCTCTCTAGCTTCACGCCACTCTCTTTCCGTCGCGCCTTTCGAACCTTCTCTCGGCGATCGCCACCATAAAACCCTAGGAACCGCCGAGCCCGCAGCCCCGCGGCGAGGTGCGGAGGAGGAGCGCCGAGGAGATCCTTCCCTCTCGCCTCGCGCTCGGCAGATCCCGTCGGAGCTTCCAGGTAAGCCTCTGCTCCTCCGTTTCCCCCGAATCGGCATTGCCCGGCGAATCGCTACCCGGTGTTCGTCTTTCGGGTGCGAGATCACCGTTCGGCGGATCGCTGCGCGGAACTGACCTTAGCGGTTCGGTCAGATCAGCGCTTTGGTCTGTTTCCTTAGGTCGTTTTTCGCGCGGATGATGTTGCTGAGAAGCTGGAAGAGTCTCTTCTTCTTTTTGCTTGCGTTTATGGCTTTCGATGGAAGACGAGTGTGCGCGAAATGGCGTTTGTGGTTGAATCTGATTTGTTCCTGGTTACCAGTGATATGTAGCTCCGCAGATGTTGTCTTGGAACGGTGTGTTTGGTGAATTTCTCTGTGTTTGGCTGTAAGGCTTGTCGTGTTACACTGAGGTGGGATTGAGGGAAGTGGAAGGAATTGAAGAGAAATGAAAGATAGGGAATGCTTCTAGGATTTGTCAAGTGGTGTCGGATAGTTCCATGGCATTAAGTTTACCTCTTAATTATATATTTTTTCTTCATGTAACGTTTGGCTTTCTGTTTTAGGGTTGTGATTGATTGTTTCCTGGTGATCAAGTGGTAATGGCGGTGCAGCAAGCCCCTGCTGGAGCAGCCTCTCCATCAGCTGATGTTGTATGTAGTTTGTTGAGTGTAAAATGGGAATTGCGCTTTGTGTGTCATTTCCTCTGTGATTTCAACCCGCATTTTCTTCCCCTGATATATCCTTCATATTGTATAGGTTGGCAATGCATTTGTTCATCAGTATTACCTCATCCTTCACCAATCCCCTGAGCATGTTCATCGATTTTATCAAGATATTAGCAAGCTTGGCCGTCCTGAAGAGGATGGAGTCATGGGTATCACCTCAACCATGAAAGTGAGCTGTTTGATATCTCACTCCCTCTCTCTCTCTCTCTCTCTCTCTCTCTCTCTCTCTCTGATTGGGCAACCCTCCTTTCTGTTATGTGTCTTAAATGCTGTGTTTCATTAGGCTATATGTAATATTATTCGGAGAGACATTCCAGTTCACTCTGACATGTTGGTTGAGCCATTGTTAGCGTTTTTCTCCACTAACTAAGCGAATGCTATTTGTGGATGGTCTTACTAATTACTGGTAGTATATTGGGTGTTATTTCTTTAATATAACTTAAGCCACTTGCTCCTGATGCAGGCTATTGATGAGAAGATACAGTCACTTGATTATGGTGGATTCAGCGCAAAGATCATTACAGTGGATGCACAAGACTCTTTCAATGGCGGAGTCACTGTACTTGTTACTGGATATCTTACAGGAAGAGACAATGTGAAACGGAAATTCACCCAGAGTTTCTTCTTGGCACCTCAAGATAAAGGTTACTTTGTTCTGAATGATATTTTCAGATACGTTGAGGAAACCAGTCATCAACAGCCAAACCATGGTTCAGCTAATGATGTGGAAGCTCCTCAAACTATCGAGCAAGGTAATGGAAAGTGATTAAATTCATATATGTTTAAATGAGGCAATCATTTAAAATATTTCGGTTTGCAGAGTCAACACCTCCGCAGGAGAACCGCATTCCTCAACAGGTAGCTGCAGATTCAGAAGAAGTTAGTCAGGAGCAAGTTTACAACCCGTCTGAGAATGGAGATGGTTCAGTTGTGGAGGAGGAAGCCCCAGTGCCTGAAGTAGTTGATGAAACTCCAGTGGATTCACACACAGTGGCTGAATCTAATGCTAAAAATGATGTTCCGAAGAAATCGTACGCCTACATTGTAAGTTGGGCTGATTCTACATAGAATTTTCTATTTGAGGCACGTTAGCTAAATTTTCCTGCACTTGTCATAGTGGTGGTAATATCTGAGGGACTGCACTGTTTGTTTTGCTGTAATTAGATCAGAAGTAAGATGATTCTTGGGCTGATAGCATTTGTCATTAGTAACTTGATTTGCTGCCACTTTTACTTACAGTTGGGAGTCATGAAGGAGAGTGCTGTCAATGTGCCATCGTCTTCACCTTCTCCAAAGCCTGTTCCAAAGAGCCAAGAACCACAGATGACTGCACCACCACCTCCAGCCCCAATACCTGAGACTCAAGTTTCCAGTTTAAAAGCGACTGAAAATGGGAATGTTCAAGAGGGTGAATGTGCGTGGTCCGCTTATTCTTCTTTTGTTAAATTAAATTGATAATATTTTTCAGTTGTAGATATTGAAGTGCGTCTAAAAAGTCTGATTCATGTGATTACATGCTTATTTTGAGCAGCTGATGGGCACTCCATCTACTTGAAAGGGCTGCCTATGAATGCAACCTATCCACAAATTGAGAATGAGTTTAAGAGGTTTGGAGCAATCAAAACTGGTGGTATTCAGATTAGGAGCCAAAAGGTTGGTTTGATTTTAACAATTTTAGCTACATTGGAACTTCATGTCTTATCAATCTTTCTCAAACAACAGGGATTTTGCTTTGGGTTCGTGGAATTTGAAGAGTCAAGCTCTGCCCAAAGTGCAATAGAGGTAAGTCCGTTTACTTTGCTCTTTTCTCATTACAGTTGATGGAGCAATTGGGGAGGGGCATGCGAACATTTTCATCACTGTTCGGGGCTACTGGATTAACTTCCATCTCTGACACTTTTGTTATAAGCTATTATATAATTGTCGTTTACCTCTTAGTTTAGCATTTACTTGGTAATCTAAACTTGTAAATCCCTCTTCTTTTCCAATTGTTCAGAAATCTCCGCTAGTTTTATCATTTCGATCTTTCTGTATGCTTGCGGTCACAACAATCTGCATCTTCACCTTAAGCTGGGTTTAGTATCGCAGTTATAAGAATCATGTGCAAGTGTATCTGCTGCTAAGATTGCCACCTTTGCAATGGACTGCCGTCTAGTCGCTTGTTTTATTTGTGATATAATAAAGTTCCCTTCATGGTGCCCATGTAATTATCTGGACATGCTTATCCTCACTTGTCTATACGTATGCATTGCACAAGTTATATTGAGCTCTAAATGAGTTGAGTTATGAGCATTTCTCAAGTTTCAAGGTTAATGTCCAGGCCTCTCCAATCACTATTGGTGGACGACAGGTGGCTATTGAACCAAAGAAGTCTACCTCACGAGGTAAGTTACTTGTTCAACTTTTAGAACTCTGCTTTTGTTATGCTTGATGGGGGCCATAATTATTCTCTTAATTTTACAAAAGAGCCACATTTTACCAAAAACAAGTCCTTAACGTCCTCTCGCCCCTCGTGTGCTGCATATGCAACCTTTCGATTTTATGGAGGAAATTAGGTCCAACCTATCTCCACCCATCTTGATAGCCTAAATTTATTCGCAGAACTTTGATACATGTATATTGGATCATCCTATCATATGGAGTGATTTCTATTTTGCATGGTTCTTTCTGCAGGGAATGGTAGGGATCGTTTTCCATCTGGAAGGGGGGCTGGCTACAGGAATGAGGGTGTGCGAGGGCGCGGAAGCTATGTTGGCGGTAGAGGCTATAACAGGGGCGAGCTTAATAACAGGATGGATTATGGAAACAGAAATGGTGGCAGGGGAGGATACGCTAACCGTGGCGATGGATATCATAGGGCTGATCATTCAGGAGGCAACGGTGGCCGTGTGAATCGAGCTGGTTTTGCTGTCGATGCAGCCAAAAGCATGGCACCGCGAGTATCTGCAACTGCTTGAGGAACCAACGGGTAGTTACTTTTCTCAGTTGTTGGATAGGCATCAAGAATGCATCTTTAGATTCTTTTGCACATGATAAATTTTGGAGCTAAATCAAAATATTAGTCTTCAGCTTTTTGGCTGTCGATCATGTTCAGTCTCACTGGTGGGAAATAGATGTACTTAGTTTCTGCTTCCAAACTAGATCTTTGTCTGTCTTTGGTGGGATTATCCTGCCGATTTTGGAGCCGTATCATTTTATAAAAATACTGAAAAGACCAGCATTGTTGTTGTATGGATATCCTGGATATATTGATGTACTTCTTGGGGCCATTTAGGCAGGTTGCAACCGTACAATGAGAGGGTACTGTGTGTTTTTGAAAGTCGAGGCCAATCTGAAAGGAGAGAGCTGTGCAATTGTTGATTCGTGTTCGTTTTCAGTTACTTAGATTAGAGGTTATTTAAGGAGCACATACTTTTTGTTCCATCCATTTCCCTGGATTCTCCTGAGCAGTTTAGCTCCACGCAGACAGATACTGATGTTTATCAGCAGCTTGTGGCCCGATAGATCGATCACGGGCTTGTCATTTTAAGTTAATGCTTTCCTGGCCCAATGTTTAAGAAGCTTTCTTATGGTTCTCAGCATCTTTAGTGTATCCTACCAAAATTCCTTTACTGTCTTCCTGCAAAACTGAATCGGCAGACTGGCTTACCGTGGGGTTTGCATCGGGGTAGATCTGGTGTTTTAATCGAATCGAATTAAAGCGCTCTAATGCAGTATAAAAATATTCGAAATTGAAATGAAAAACCATCCAGACCGAACTGCGCTTGCGTTCATTGTCTCTTTTTTTCTTTTAACGTGCTGACTAAGCTTCAATACTTTGAATAAAAAGCTGCACTATACATTTGCACTGAAGCATTTTAAACGCATCGTGTCAAAGAAGAACCGGTTTTGACCCAAAAAAAAAAAAGATAGCAAAGAAAAACCGACAAAAAAAGAGACGAGTCAATAGCCAGCGACTCAGGCTATGTGCGCAGCTGAACTTTGCCGCGTCGGGAATCCTCTCAAAAGAGACGGGAGCTGTAGAGAAGTAGAAGAGGAACAAAGAGACATTTTGCAATGGAAGGTTCAATTTTAAAGTGAGAAATGCCGAACACCAAGTAAAGATGAACTGCGGTTTGGTTTAGATTTGTCAACTATAAACTATTGCAAACGGCGAGCCAACAAAGCCCTCCTCAGACGGGGACGAAAGAAAAAACTCACCCAGGTGTAGCGTGCGTTACCTCCATTAGGATTTTGCAAAACCTCAAGGCATTAGTTGCCGTTGGATCATTATTCAATAGATTTCAGACGTCCATTGAAAAGATATTGCAAGCGTTTGTATGTCATGACATTGCATATAGAAATGCATGCGGTACGATGATGCCACACAACGGATTTAAAAAGTACTTATTTTCCGAAAAGTTACATTACGAGACAGATCACTCTCAGAAGTGCTTGATCGGATTCAAGGCATGACAGATTTGGAATAATCCTCTAAGTCAAGACAATGGATATCTCTTCCAAATATACCAACGATGTCCTAGCTTAGAAACTACCCGCATTACTAAAGTTGCAATCATAACATCCGCAATGAAGCATTAGTGTCAGGTTAACCAAACATCCAGAACCACCTCATACATTCCTCGTAATGCACTGTGACAAGATAAAGAAAGCAGAACATCTCATAAGGATCAATAATTAAATTCCTGATATATAGGCGTATACAAAATCGAGAAGTCTTCTGAAAGAGATCACTCAAACTTGTGGGGGGGTTTGAGTGGACGAAAGATATAAAGGAACTTCATTAGGAAAGTAATTGCATTCTGGATAATAAACATTTGCCAAATAATTAAGATTGCAGCACTTGTATGGACAAAGAAAGCAGGGTTGTGTAGTAGATATGGCACAAAACTATCTAAACTCGGATAGCAAACGAACCTTCTGATGCAACTAATAAGGATGCGTGGTAAATGTTGATCGCATTCCCAAGTATCCCACGATTGGAACCTTTCCAGCAGAAAGCCCGCAGGAAGATGATTCATCTGACTGTTTCTTCAGACACCAAAGTTGCAGGCCTGGACGAAATCCAACTCGTAGTCGACGTACTTTGTCCATAGTGGCTTAAACAGGCTCATGGCAATGTCAAGCCATGGCTTCATATTCCCATTGAAGTGGACAACAGCAGCATTACGAATCTCCTCCATGCTTATGCTGGGATTGTAGCCAAGTCCTAAAACATGCCATGACTTGTCCAGTGGCTTCGTCGTTGAGTAAAATGTTATCAAACCCGGGGGCAGAGTTCCCAATTTCCACAAGGTTCGGTTCTCGTTCTGCATTTTAGAGAGAAAACAGCATTATACTCGGAGAATGAACGAAAATTTTCAACCTCTAGTAATTATTTTGCATATTTGACAAGGATTGCCAAAAACAATCTTGGAAAGCCATTGTGCATAACTTTTACTCTCCTCAGGTTCATCATTACTTTCTTTTTCAGTTACTCATCGCAGTGAACTTAAAGAATTATTTACTGGAACAGATAAAGTTCTGTATTACCATGAAACCGAAATGAGTCCATTTGCCCTCACTGAAAAGACAATCGGTGAAATGCAGCATAGATTGGGAAAGATTATCCCTAACTTTTATGTAGAATTTATCAGCTTATGATAATCACTTAGCAATCAAGCAGGAGCCCTAAAAGAGGGGGACGGGGATTAATTGACAAAATTTCACCAGAAAAGGTTCAAAGATGTTACCAGATTCTGCCAGTAATGATACTGTTCGGTGCATTTCTCCCTTCTCCAAGCATCCAAATCAAAAAAGTTCATTCCATAAGCCCATGCACAAGCCTTGGGGTTGAATTTCTCCTTTATCAGAGGGTGCGAGAAATTCATATACTGCGCATACCGATGGAAAGAGCCGAAGCACGTCTCAACTGCCCCATTCACTTTTCCATCCATGTCTATCTTCCATAAACCAGTCAAGTCCTTCTGCACAACAATATCGTCATCCAAAAACAGAATCCTGTGCAACTTGGGGTACATTTCTGGTAAATAAAACCTCAGATGGTTCAGTATCGAGAGGTACTTAGGGTTCCTAAACTTCATATTCATGGTATCCTTAGTAGCATTTTCGAGCTTATTCTCGAAGTAAAACTTCTGCAAGTTTGCAGACTCCAGTTGTCTAAGCACCGGTACATAAGAAGAGTTCAAGAACTTGTAATCCTCGACTGCCTTAACCTCGACATGAGCCCCATTGTATTCCTTCAACTTGAACATAACTTGCATAGCCCCAAGATTCATCTTATCAGTCACCACATGGAAAACATGTTTCCATGGCTCCTTTGCATTCTTCACAGCAGAATTTACCACCACAGATGCTGCAAGCACATTATCTGAGAAAATTGCATAATGGTAAAGGTTGGGATCCTCCAGTTCTGGCTTGGGAGGCTTTCCCTCATCTGTATACTTCTCAGGGTGCGCGATTCGCTCTTCCATCAACCGCATCGAAAGGCAGTGCAGGCTCTTAGGTATCGATTTCGCAGCAATCAAACTCGAAAAGGCACCCTGCTTCTTTGCCTTTGTCAATTGCTCGTTCACTGCGAAAATCGTATCCTTCAACTTCTGAATCTTCAATTGATTGTCGAACGACTCCTTCGATTCAGACACCGCCTGGCGAGTGACCTTGATGCGCTCTTTCACTTCCTTCTCGAACTGGCGGAGCACGGTTTCGTCGATACCGAGCGAATCGGACCCGAAGAGAGCATGATACCCGGGCTTCTTGATGAGATCGCTGTAGTTCTTCGAGAGATCGGCGAAAATCCGAACCAGCTTGGAGTACTCAAGCTTGAGCTTGCGCGCGTACGACGCGTAGGCCAGTGCCAGGGCGCGGTGATCGTCGGCCTGCTTCTGCAGCTGGTCGAGCCGAGGCTTGAGAGGATCCGATTTCATGGCGAGAATGGATCTCCCGACGGATGCGTATCCATGAGAAGCAGAACCAATCCCCTGCGCATCAAAAAGGACGCACGCACGCACGCACAGCAATAAGCTTCGACCAAACGCCGCCTACCTCAAAGTCCTAACTACCGAACCACACGCGATCGACAAATCGACCATCCAAATCCACCGAAACGGCATCGTGCGAATCGGATCTAGCGCGACCGCGACGGGGACGGGGACGGCGAGAGCGCGAATCGAGGATCGAGAGGGTTGCGAAGCGGGAGAAAAACCTAGCTCCATCGAGAAAAGGAACAGCGACAATGCAGGAGGGAGGGGACGACGTACCAGGCGGTGGAGACGGGAGGCGTCGGTGCGGGAGGTGGCGGAGAGGGAGGAGGCGAGGAGGAGGAAGGCGGCGGCGGCGGCGGCGGCGGAGGCGAGGAGCTTGAAGGGGGAGAGGCCGCAGGATCTCCGGTGGTTCGCCATTCGCTCACCGCCCCACCCCCACCAGTCGAGTCGCTCACTCAGTGTCAAGAGGGAAGGGAGGAGATCCTTGAGAGAAAATCGCGGGCGGAAATTGGAGCGAGTTAGACGAGCAGTGGATCGCGGAACGAATGATGATGATGTCTCACGGCTTCGCACCCGAAATCTGACTAACTGGCCTCCACAATCTAATAAGCACATTTGTTTTTAAAAATATATATTTTTTAAATATTTTTGTTTATTTTTTATTTTTTATTTTTTTTTAATTAGGCCATATCCCACTCTCAATCTCCAATTGGCGATGTTTAATGTAATCGATTTTTTTGGCCGTATGAAAAAGCATTTTCATATGATTAAACGAAGTCGGCGACAATTATCGGATCCCGTATTTTTGGATTTCGAATGAAAAGACCCAATTGCCCTTCAATCAGTTCTTTTCTTCCCTCCTGCCTTGATGTACTATGCGGTAATATTTCGGGCCTTTAGCTCTGTCTGGTTTGCCAGAAGAAAATGTGAAAAGAACGGGGTTTTCTTTTCTATTGTTATCTACGCTCGAGTACGTGCATATGATACCTTCGACTTTACAACGAATCAACATAATCTTATCCCAACCAAATCTTTTGATAGTTCAATTTAGATAGATCCGGGTAGCATTCGATTCAAATGGAGCTTGTTCGATGAAAAGAGTTTTTCAGCGGAAATACAAAATGACCGGGGATCGACATATAATAAATTTTTAAAGAAATATCGAGCTTCATTATAAGAATAAGAATAAGCTTCACAATACAAGCTGTATACTTTTATTTTCAATGAATTAAATAATATTAAATTATTAAATCACGTCTTTATCCTCGAGTTAAAGTTTTTAGAGAGATCCGGCTTTTATTTTGCAGAAAAGAAAAGATTTAAGTTATGCATACACGTTCACGCGGGTCCTGATTTTAAAAGTGTTTTCTGACAACGGCAACTCCTGCAACGCGCTTCGACCAAATGTAAATAGCCCCGTCTCTTCTTCTAATCTTTAAGTCCATGAAACAGTTGACTTTTCTTTGCTTCGACATTCGATAGGTTATGCTCTCTTGCTCCAAAACTTTATATCATATGCCCTCACATTGCTAAGGATAGCGAATCAAAAGCAAACTGAAAACAATACAATGCAGCACACAAAAGTCACGATGGCCACCGTCCATATCAGATCTCCAAGATCACGCGCAGCATCAGGAAGAAATGAGACTGGGGAAGCGAAAAGGAGCTATATTGACGTTAAAATTAGATGACCCAGAAGTAGTCCTGATACAGATATAGTTCGAATACATACAGAACCTCTCTTTCCTTTGCTTTTGCATTTGCCGTTTGAAACCCAAGTCTGCAAGAACCCTGAAAGAAAGAAGGAAGAGAGCGACGGATCTCAGTTGTAGCCCTTCTTGGTGTGCTTGCCCACATGGTGCAACCACCCAATGCCCCTGAAGGCCTTGGAGATCCTGACCAGGTTGGGCCTTCCCATGCCCAGGTTCATCTTCCCCGCAGAGAACTTGAGCGCCTGCAGGCAGCAGAACTGCTCGTCCATGTCTTCTTCTTCTTCTTCTTCTTCTTCTTTGACTTGGTAGTCGCCTTTCACGTGCCCTTCGACTCTCCCTCCTCTCTTGCCCTTCTTTGCGCTGTTCTTCACTTGCTTGGTGGTGGTATCGTTCTCGTAGGCCTCCCACAGCAGATCCATCCCCTCGCCACCCTCCGCATTGTGCCTCTCTTCGAAGAGCTTGCATGCCAGTGTCCTCTTCCACTCTTTCTCTCTCCTCATCGACCCAAAACTCCCCAGATGTTGAAGACCCGTGTTCTCATAATGGCTCTCGTAGAGTTTATCAGGTGAATAGTAAGATTGCTCTCCTCCGCCGTTGTCATCGAAGAGCCTGAGACTCCCACCAAGTCTTCTAGAATTCTGCCTTGTTCTTGAAAAGCACTCTCCTCCATGATTATCCCTTACTTTTAGGTCGCTTAATTTATTGCTTACTGCCTTGGATCCGCCTTTGAACAGTGGATCATCTTCTTTTTGCTCTTCTTCTTCTTCACCAACTTTCTTGGGCTCTGAGTCTGGAAGTTTGACTTCTTTCTCTTCTACTTTGAAAACCGCACCTTCACTTTCCCATTCTGCCTTCTCCCGGAAAAACAGTTCTTCAAGTTTGTCCTCAACTTTGGACTCTGGCTGACAAATCTCAACCGGCTCTTCCTCGAATATGGTTGCTGATGCCTCAGATTGCCCCTTGACAACATTATCTCCATAGATCAAGAACTTGTCAACTGGTGCTTCAGATTCTTCAGACCCACAATCCCCCCGTGGCTTCAACTGATCAGAAACTTCATCTTGGCTTTTCCCGGAGTCCCACGTGGAAGCTTCTTCAAAGAAAATCTTGTACACTTCAAGGTCCTTTGAGAGCTCAATCCCTTCATCTTCATCAGCTGAATTTGATCTCAACTTCTCTAGAACCCTGGAACATAACTTTGAAACAAAACCCACTTTGGATTCTGATGTTACTTCAAGAGACCCCTCAAGGCCTGGAGAGAGGGAGAGGAGGGCAAGCAGGATAAGGAAGGTGGTGATGAGAAGAGGAGAGAGGAAAGTCACAAGCTTGAGAAGGTAAGGTGACAAGAAAATGAAGTAAGAGAACAACACAGGGTAAGACAGAAAGAAAGAAGAGAAGAGTACTAAACAGGACAAGAGGACCCTAGACAAGGGTGCATTTTTTGCTGTGCTTGACATGGAAAACTCAGTCATTTTTCTGCTCCAGAGTGCTTGAAGGAAGCGGAAGAAGAAATAAAGCTGAAATGGAGCTAGTGATGGAGTGAAGAAGAAGAAAATTGGATTGCTTTACAGAGGAATTGAGTGGTAAAAGTGTGAAGCTTTGGAAGAGAGAGTGGCGTGATAGAAGGAAGAGACAGGGAGGTTGGGAGTGAGTGAGTGAGTGAGTGAGTGAGAGAGTGAATGGAGGAGTGATGAACATTGGCGAAAAAAGGCATCTTTTGAAGCCTTTCCATGTCTGTCTGTCTATAACCACCAAATGTGCCCCCACCCGAAATAAATTAGAGAAAGAAATTTTGACAATGGGCTACATATGTTTCCCTTATAATTATGAATTGGGAAAATTACACAAACAGTCCCTGAACTTTGACTATGTACATTTGATCTCGAACTTTTAATTTATTCAATGTAGTCCCGAACTTTAGCTCGATATTCAATTGGTCCATGAACTTTAATTTGTTCAATGTGGTTCCTTAACTTTTAGTATGTGTTCAATTTAGTCCTCGAACTATTTGAAAATGTTCAATGTAGTCCTTCTATTAATTCAAGTGCAAGGACTACATTGAACATTTTCATATAATTCATGGACTAAATTGAACATGTGCTAAAAGTTCAGGGACCACATTGAACAAATTAAAAGTTCAAGGATCAAATTGAACATTAGGCTAAAGTTCAAGGACTACATTGAACAAATTAAAAGTTCAGGGACCAAATTACACATTGGGTCAAAGTTCAGGGACTGTTTGTGTCATTATCCCTTATGAATTCTCCGAAAACAATTACGAGGCACTAGTCGAGTGGTTAAGCACTTGATTTATATATGGCATATGCATATTTCGTGTTCGAATCCCAACATCTCTCACTAGGGATGAACTTAGAAGTCATCGCTTATCACCTTGTGAATAGAGTCCGGTAGAAAAGAAAGATTGATTCTTTGTCATATCAAAAACAATCCCAAAGAAAAACTTCTGCAGCCTATTTCACAGGTATAACAGTTGCAGCATTGATGAATATTTAATTGCTTTGCACATGTGGTTGGTTTCAATGCCACAACTTATTGGACTTGGATAATTGGAAAGATACATAACTAACAAGCTCACAGCAGTGGGTACCGATCTCTCCCTTAATCATTGCAATGCCTCTGTGATTATTACAATAAGGCAAAATATCGACCCCTTGTGTTGCTGATATCTCAGTTTGGTTCCTTTCTCAGGTATTCTCCTCCAATCTACAGAACGTCCAGTCACCTTTTTCGTCCAGTCCGTGCCTATGGACTTTCACTTTAATGGAATCCCAAGTGAAGTTTTGGCGATCCCATTGTCTGCTTGACACTTTTCAGCAGCCTTTCCATGCGGGTTTGCGATCTGCCCAGTAAATTCAGGGAACTCTACAGACAATCCTCGATGTTCAAGGTTACAACCTAGTGGTATCTTGACTGCTGCAGTACTAAAGATAGCCAATAACATTCTTTCAAGGCGATTTTCCTCTCATCGTGGGAAATATGCGCTCCCTTGAGGTTATGATCTTAAGAAAGATCTTGCAGATGCAGGATCTTCCATCTCATTCACCGTTAAACCAAGTAAAGAAGGACGAAACTTCATCAACTTGGAGAATCCAATCTAACCGCCAGCCTGTTTGGAGCACATAATCTCATCCAACCCATCATACTCCCACAGAACCATCATGCGCATTTCGTAACGACTCTTTTGGGTCCGAAAGCGCGCGAGATCCTAATTGCCTCAGTCGGTCCTTACACTCAATCTGAATCATTGTGTTTGTAGTTGATTGAACTACTAGAATCAGAATGCCAATGACCCAAGAACCCTTTCTGGTAACCCTAGGTTTGGAGATACAAGTATTCGTCTCCCCCACGTGGGTAAAATCCTAATTAGCAAAGCCAAAAGGAAGGTGCCTGAGCAGCCTAAGAAACTCGGGCACATTCTGAGTTCTCCTCATCTTTTCTTTGCCAAATAATAATTTGGAGCAATTATTAGCAAATTAAATAAGAAAGGAGCAATGAAAGAAGCAGGAGACAGGAGCCGAGTGAAGGATTCTAAGCAGAGAACTGGAGTATGAGCGGAGACATTTGATCAACCCCCACATGGGAAAGCACTCATGGCCACTCGAGTACCGTTGATGCATCCAACCATTTCCACCATTTGGACCTCTCCTTTTGACCTCTCCAAAGTTTTCCATGTCGGAAACGTGTCCTCTCCTCTTTGACCTTACACCTTTTCTTAAATCTGATCATTGTCATCGATGGGAGGTTGGTCTGTCTCCCCTTTCCATGATACCTACCCGACCTATGATCGTCACAACCAAATTCGCTTTATCAGAGCTAAGAATTTGTCGACGGGACAGAGTCCGAGCCGAGGTATTATTATCTTCAGTGAGGAAAACACACGTCGCAAACCGTGCATTTGCAAGCCAACCTTCTTCCTAAATGCTTCACCTTGTTATGAGGCGACAAATGTGCCTAATGACAATACGAGGAAGATTAAGAAGCTGAATCGGAACAGCAACTAGACCGTGGACGACTTTACCTATCACAACTCCTCGCTGGGACCAGACATTGTCTTAGCTTTCCGCGATTTATTATATGGTCACCGACGTGAGAAATTACACAGCAAGTAATCAATCATAAAGCCATCCTGAGATTTCTTGGCAGTAAAAACAAAGCCCAGATAATTTGGCTAACGATATCAAAGCAAGAACAATCGGCTTTCATTCCATAAAGACCAACACTACACGGATCATCAGAAATTTGATATCGAAATTAGTCCTGAATCCAAAAGGTAAACCGCTCGAACATCACGGTAGACGGATACACTTCCAAAATGAAACATTCTGTCACTCATGCCCGCCTCGACTCCGAAGGGAGATGCCAACAAGTGAATTCTACTCTGTCATGATAGGTTTATTTTCGCTAGCCTTGGGCCTCTGCTCCTTGGGCCTCTGCTCTTCCATCTTCCTGTAATTCAAACCCAGGAAACAACACGGAAATGTCAAAAAATGCAGAGTGGCAAAGCTGACACTAGTAGATCCTATGCATCCCCATCGCTATACACCTTCGACAGCCAGAACACCTCACAAAGTAAGGATGGAAATAAATAGCCTAATGGAAAGAAGCCAGAGACAGCTTAAAGCTCCTAAAAGCAAACGGGAAAGTTAGCTTCCCTAAATTTGTCAAGCCTAAATGGCCATCACATGTGTCCATGAGTAACTCTCACTTTTTACCATTACATCCATAGTATTGCTGCAGCCAACCATCTACTTTTCAACATAACTTTGATGGGGATATGAAGCAGATACTACAGCCCAATAAGTAGAAAACAAGAACTAGCACGGGGACCACTGAACTTGACAAGGGCTAAATTACATATGCAAAATAAGAATGTTAATGAACAATCTCATCAATGCTAAAGGGCGATGACAATGACACTGATGACGAGACCTTAACAATACTAACATGCCAACTATAGCGAGCCCTTGAAAAGCAAATACAAAGGCCAGGGAGACTGAAAGAACAGAGACCATATATTGGAATTACACAAACTCCAGAGTTCTGCTCAGTGAGAATTAAGTAAAAGACAAAGGGCTTGGAACTAGGAAAACCAGATGAAAGCATTGACGATGGAATGAATAGTTACCGCTTGATTTGGAAAAAGAGACTGAGAGAAATAGGGCAAGATAAAAGATTACAGCGTTCAATAAAGCAAACAGAGCCACCTTATCAAATGAAGCTTAATTTAGCAGATTCGATCATGGAAACAAAATTTTGAAACCCACATCTTCACCTTAAAACCCATACAAAAAAAGCCATGATCACCAAAAACATACCCGTAGGGTGCCTTTGTTTAGCCGAAAATGAATTATTTGGAAAACATTTTCCTAAACATGATCGCTCGTATCTCTTACAAAAATGAGTGGACGAAACATATTTTCAAGGTCTACGAAATATTTAAACATAAAGTGCTATCGATAATGATAAAAAAATTTCATCGACTAATTATTTCAAGCATTATAAGCAATTATTTTTAGGAAAATGTTTTCCAAATCGAACAAACGGAGTCGTAGTATCATTGCCAAACTAATATTCACATGATTCTGAAACCTTCAAGCTCCACGACCAAAATTGGACTCTACCAAAGTTCAAACTTGAATTAAGCAATACACACACGCCGCCACCGACGTGTTCAAAACAAAAGACATAAACCCTCGGCCGCAAAGACGACCAGGAATGGCTCACATACGCCACCGCTATCTAAGTAGCTCGACGATTCGCACATGCTATCGGCCAATAGGAACTCACAGGCTGCAGAGACAAGGCGGAAATCACGCAAAATTGGCGCAAATTCCACGAACTTCTCATCGGATACATCAACCAATATGCAGAATAAAACTGCGTCTAAGTGCTTGATCCTAGTACCAGCCCAGTTTCAAATCGTCTCGACTCGACAAATAAACTCATAATCAACAACAAACGTCAAATCACAATCACAGACGCGCGCGCGAACAGAGATAGAGAGAGAGAGAGAGAGAAAGAGAGGGACCTCTTGTCGGAGGAGCCACCCTTCTGGCTGAGGAACGATCGGAAGAGAGGGGAGTTGACGTCGTAGATCATCGTCTCCGGTGCGGTGGAAAATCTTGCAGCAGCAGCAACGGGAGTATGTCCTCGAGCTTTCGAAGCAAACCCTAATTTCTTCTCGCTCGCGATTACCCTCCGCGGCGACCCCAACGGGGGCCGTTTTATATGCGGACGCGGTCGACGACGTTAAAGCCCGAAGTAACGCGACGCTGGGCTTCCTGCCAAAAAGCCCATATCCGGAAGCGCGCGTGGGGCGATCCGTTTCGGAAGAAGAGTCCAGGGACCGCAGTGCAATTTTGCCAAACGGAAGCACTCCCTTCCGCAAATTGGTATAAATTGTAGGGCTAAATTCTTCCGCGAAAGTGACGGGCGACCATTACGTGCCGAGCGGCAATAGCTCTCGGATTCCTTAAATCACACAAGATGACAGCCTCCGGGATCTATCGCTTTCGAGGAATCGGAATTCACTAGAGCCCAATGAGGTAATTTTGTGTGTCCCTTTGCCTTGAAATACTTTACTTTCCGATTCCATAAGGAATCGTATTGTTAATTTTGGGTGAATTGGACGAATGGTAGGCTTATCCGGCGATGGTAGAATGGGGACCGAACAAGAACGTAATGTGCTGCCCTGAATGCCACCTGACCGCTGGATAGAAAAAAAGAAGAAGAAGAAGAAGAATTACGTGCCACGTCGTTTTATCGAGAGATGTATATCCTCTTCCTTAACTCCAAAATCATTTTGGTCGCTTCAATTCGTTGCATCTGCCTAATGGGGAAGTGTAGCCAAATGCACTATGTCGAAGCACGCGTCACGCGCGTGCGCAGCTTGATGATTATGTGAGGGAAAAAATGAGCAATTATATAACGAAAATGGAAAAACCATAAGAGTGAGCGGAAGAAAATTAGCTATATAAGAAAGTTAGAGCGGAACAATTGTTAACTATGTCTTTTCTTGTCTCTTCACATAGTGCGTTTGTTTAACAAAAAAATTATGATTTGAAAAGTATTTTTCAAAAAACGATCGTTTGTATTGTTAATAAAAATAAATGTTGTTGATAGCGAAAATATTTTTATTGATTAATTTTTTAAAATAATATAACCAATCATCTTTTAAAAAATATTTTTCAATCATTTTTTTTTCTTGAAACAAACGAAATGAAAAAAGCATATTTCGAAAGAGTCAAAAGTGAAAGTATAAGCTATGGATAGATGTCCCTGATTACTTGCTTTGACATAACAGATGGAATTAGCAAAAGGGTAACTTTTGCATAATCGTCCCATCATATTTATGTTCGTGCTCCCCTCGATTAAGTACTAGAGATTGAATTTGAAAAAAAAAATTAAAAGGATGTATTTTTTTATAAACGAAAGAATTTTTCGCGAATTAATTTTCTTGCCGACCTACGGAACTGTTTTTGTGGCGCTAGATTAGACGGGCTGTGGTCGGGCGACGGAGATTGGATGGCCTATGAGCCCGGAAGGGGGGGGCCCACCGTCAATTTCGCGAAACATGTTCTCTTAACCTCATTTGCCAAAAAGGACCAGCGAGCCTGCACACGTGGGCCAATCACGTGTCGGATCTCTATTCCTCTGGGTTAGAGAATCTGGAGGACGGGCAACCAAAGTCAACAATCATGCTGGCTGGCTACTTTCGGCTTTTGTTCGTGAACTTGACGACATGCGGCTGCCAAATCCGGTTCGTGTGAACGACAGTTCGTTTCTTGGCACGTGCCGGCTAAGTTGATTTTTCTAACCTTTTCTTCGGTTTCTCTGGTTGGCCTATATATATACATACATACATATATATATATATATATATATGGGTTGGTGTTTGGAAGTTGGATCCGTGGATGGTAATTCTACTTCTGTTTTTTCTTTAATTAGGACATGCTTGTGCAAATAATCCTAACTTGTAACAATTTGCATGCAATTAATGAGATTTGATATGCATGGTTCTCCGATCGCCGTTTGTTGAGTTTTTTTTTTTCCTCATTTACACATGGACCCGAGAGATTTCTTATGTCATCATAACATGTCTGGCAAGTTTTTCTTTTTATGATATGATATTATGCTTTTAATAACCACAAAACATTCGAAAAATTAAGAGAAAAAAAAAAGCAATTTTGTCAATATTTTATACAATGAAATATGTCATGGAGTTGCATCTGTTTAGAAATATAGTAAACTTTTAAGCGAATCATTTTTTTCTTTTAAAATAACCTAAGGTGTGAAAGTAGAGGTTCGATTGCTCGAAAGTCCAGGAAATATCCTGTGATTTTGGATTTTCCAATCCCGACAAGTGGACATTATCGTTGATTTCTACCTTAATAAGCCGAGATACATTCGCAGAATCTCCAAGTGCATCACTCTCCCGATCGTATACTTCACCGTTGCCCATCGTGATCAGTCCAGAGTTGAGCGAACTTCATTAAGCAGTCGGATTGCTCCCTTCCTTTACTCAATCTAAGTAAACTATCGAGTTAAAAAAAAAAAAGAAAAGGGTCCGTGGCAATACAATCTCGCGACAGAAGGCCCATCGCCCGATCCCGAGCCGCTTCGACGGAACGAGCTGCTCCTCCGGCCGAGCCCGAACATCGGCTTTCGGGGCTAGCTCGGAGAGTAATGAGGAACTAATCATCGTTATAATTACGATCATCAAATTGATTAAGGGGGGTGGGGGGTCGGGAAATGTGTACGTGTGCGTGTGTGCGTACGCATGTATATCTATGCAAGGAAATGATTGGAGTTCATTAGGGTTTTGGGGCTGGCGGGACACATTGCAACATTATCTTCTCTACAAAGGGGGAGGGGGGCGCGCTTATATGGCAGGCCGCCCATCCAATCACCGCTCGTCGGTGCCCTTCGCTTGCCACCAACTAACTCACGCTTATTTAATAATTCCCCACTTCCGATTTTGCCCCTGCTCCCGCCCCGGAATTCCCCCCCGTGCCCCCGCTCCCCTCGTCCCCACATCCGTACCCCATACCTTGTGCCCGGTGAATTATGACGTGATATGCACCGGCGAAATTACATAAATGGTGACGCCTGATTTGAAATGTTTTTTTCCTCCTTCTTCTTTTATTTTTTTTGTATTTTGCTTTTCATTCTCTCGTTTACTTTGGTCCTGGAGTATTTATGCACCGCACAAAAAAGAAACCTTCAAAAAAAGGAAAAAAAAAGACGCGGTTCCGAATAATATAATGGGATTAGTGCAACGGAAACTCATTATATCATGTTAGTAATTTCCGTTAGCTAAATTAACAGAATTAACGAAAGTATAAAGACTAAAAGTTTATTAAAAAAATCATGTTAGTATTTTCCGTTAGCGAAATTAACAGAATTAACGAAAGGACTTGATTGTATCGATATGATAAGTTTAATGATTTGATTGCATTTTTTGAAAATTTTATAACTTAATCCCACTTTCGCAAAATTTTTTAGAACCTCTGGTGGTGCACTTATTCCAAATATAATTAACCAATCTTTGATTTTTTTTTTTGTGACACGAAATATTCGAACCTATTACTCGACCAACTCCTACATACCGCAACAGGGTATCGGATAAGACCCGATCCACGCGGTGGCGGGCGGGACCCGCCACGTTACTCCGGGCACGAGTTACCGTGAACTAAAACGAAAGAAGAAAAACGCTATCGCATTCGGATCAAACGTTTAGTGGTTCGGCCAAGATCTCTTCGTGGCCCTCGAATGCTCCAACCGTATAGAACAAATTTCGCATTTTGGGGATGGAACATGGTGGGATTCTGATTTCAAAGGTATCCGAATTGACAAAGGATAATTCTCGGATTTTCACGTAATCAATCAATCCCACCAAAGGAAATTATGCGGCCCGTCAGCAGAAGCTAACATTATTTGACTTCAATCTGTCCAGTCTCATCTAGAAGCCAGCGGCGGGTTTTAAACCAAAATGCAACTCAAAAGCAGACCTTCTCTTACCAAAGAAAAACTTACTTTTAATGGGTCCCCTTTTTTTTTTTTTTGGGTCAAAACCTTAATGGTTCCTTAAAAAGCATTGACGGCGTTGAATTAATTGATTGTTGGGGGCTGTGGTTTTGAATTTCAGATGTAGAGGTATCTCCAAATCTGAATTCTTGATCTATTAAAAGAAAGGAAGCAAGCAATTCGGATAAACCAGTCACGTTATCGACATATTCTTACTTTTTTTTTTAATTAAAACATAAAACGTCGGTTAAGTAGCCCTATCTAATTATGAAGATTAACCGCGAATTCTTGTAGCAATTTTGTTTTTATACCTTGTGCTAGAAATTTATGTAAAGAAAAGCTTAATCGATTGGGTTTGAGTTCGGGGAGGTGTTCGAGCCGGAGGTGATCATAGTTCCAGGGTAAAAGCTAGAACCTGATAACCGGACCGTTGGAAACTTGTCGATTCCGTATTTCAAATTATGTAAGGTAGGTTCCAGGTTTCAAAAGTTGAGGAACCTGTTTCAACGGATAGATTCCACGTTCTAAATAGGTGGAACATGAAACCTGGAACCTATGACTAGTAACAAGTTTTTTGTTTTTCTAGGTCTATGCCTTTATATGATCCTGCGGTGTTACATAGCGTCCAATTATGAGTGTATAAGTTGTGGTCAGTGGACTGTAACGGTAAGTGGTTGTCATAAAATGTGATGTTTAGCTATAATCCTTCAATTAATAATATAAGTGAAACCTGAATAAGCCCTGAAACTGACCTTGGAATCTATGACATGGTAAATTCTAGGTTCTAGGGCATTTATGGTAGATTTCGGACTTCAAAAAATGATGAACCTCTAGGTTCTACTTGGAATCTATACGGAATCTGGAGCCGCTCACCCTTAATTTGAGCACTCGTGTCCTCCCGTCAAGACAAGTTCCTCAACGTTAACGTAAGGGTGGAGTAAGAACTTTGGTAAAAAAAATGTCTCGAATTTGATTCCTACTTTGATATTTTAGTTGCCACGAGCATCATCTCAATATTTTAGATACCCATAATTTGTTTAGCTATCTGTCTCCCCTTCCATTGTTAAATTCTGTGTGCTTTCTTGCATACTCATGCTATTGATGAAGGAATGTATATAATATATACAATACTTTAAGCTATGTATATAATATACACAATACTTTAAGCTCGCCATTAGACGTCAAGGTCAATTCTATTTAATTCTTTTCTTGCAAGAAAAGACTAAAAGGAATGCTACACTTGCGGGGGTTGGTGCAGCAACACCATTATAAAAAATATTCAAGCCCACGGTTTGATTGCTTGACCTCCGGAGGGAGAATTGAGCAGTACTTGCCCTTTTGTAGATACGCGAACCATCGAAATCCTTGAAATCTTTTCGCCTGCTGAATACGATGACTCGACATCGAGGCATGAAACAGCTCGTCAGGCCTGTTATTCCCGCCCGGTGTAATCAAAGATATATATAGTAACTAAAGAAAATTTACTTTTATTAACTGCATTAGATTAGTATTCCCATATCAACACCACTTTTTTATTTATTTTTTAATAAAGGTGTTTCCAATATGCTCGATCTTTAATGATCTCTCAAGAAACCATAACATCCCTCTTGCGAGATGGAATCGACGGAGTTGAAAGAGTAAGAGATTTTCTCGAACGAATGTTTAAAAATCCTTCATCGAATCTTTTTTTTTTTTAATATCGCAACACGTATCATAAACATATCCAAAAGAATTGGTTAGCGATTACGCAACTGTATAAGGTCCGCCGAAGCTCTTAAAAGAAGGTCGAACGACTCGCGGATCCCGATCCAGTGCAAGTAAAATGCCTCGCTCTGTCGAGATAAGCCGCGGCAGCCCGGGAAAAAAAAGAAGAAGAAGAAGAAGAAGAAGGGAAAGCGCGGAAAGGAAACAATCAAAACGAAAGGCAGAAATTGGAAAAAAGAGAAGAAAGAGAGAGAAAAAAAAACAAGGAGAGCGCGCAAGCGGGAGGGGCATTTTCGTAATTCGGCAGATCAGGAAAGATCCCCCGCAGCCCCCACACTCCCCAATCGGGGAGTAATTTGGCCAACCCCATCAAAAGGGCAAAACGGTAAAAAGGATGGAAAACTCCACCCCCTCCCTCCCTCTCTCTCTCTCTCTCTCACTAGACTCCACACAAAGCACGTCCCCTTTCTCCTTTCTCTGTCTCTGTCTCTCTCGCTCTTCAACCATTATACCACCACCACCACCACCACCACCTTCTTCCTCTTTTCGAAGAAGGAGAGCACACTGCCACCCTCCTTGTCAAAATGACACCAGCTATAATGGGAAAGGTGGAGAGAGAGGGAGAGCGGGGAGGGAGGCGGGTGAATAAAAACAAAAAGGTGGTAGATGCATGAGCAACAACATCTCTCTCCTTCTCTCTCTCTCTCTGCCTCCGCCTCCCACCTCCACCTCTCGCTAGCCCCCTCTCTCTCTGTGCTACTTCAATCTCTGCCGCCGGCAACTCGCCCCCGGATTCCACGACCCGCGACCCCTTTCGATCGCCCTCCGTCCCTCCCCGGGTCCTCCCAGTCAAGTCGCCACCTTCGTCTTTTCTCTCCGGTACGTACGCATTGACTCGGTCTCCCTCCCTCTCTGTCTCTGTCTCTGTCTCGCTCTCCCTCTCCCTCGCTCGCTCGCCGTGATGGGTGTTTCTGGGGAAGGCTGGGAATCGGTCGGGTCGAGTCCAGCTGGCTGGTCGGTCGGTCGGTCTCGTTGGGTCCTTGATTTTTTGTTGGGTCGTCCGGGTTGGCTCGGATGGAGCTTTTGTATTTGGGACTGTATTTCCGTACACGCGGGGGGGGGGGGGGTTTCGGTTGACTAGTCCATGAAAGGTGGTAGGTTGGTGGGTTGACTTAACTTTTGTGGACGGAGGGAGAGAGAGAGAGAGAGAGAGGTGGTGGTCTCTGCGGATGCTTGCCGTCGTCTCTTCGTTTGCGATTTTCGGTTCACATGCTTGCGCGCGAGCATGTAAAGATTGTCCTGTTTTCTCTGTTTCTTGTTTTTTTGACGAATTCGGAAGTAGGAATTACATGTTTAGCTGGCGCCTGACTCTGTCACCTTATCCGCAATGCTTCGCGTGCCTGTCTTCTTCTACAGAGAATTCGGTGCTCACATGAGTTGATTGCATCGAATCGCGGATTGTTTTGGGTCTTGCGCGTTCTCTGTTCATCTCAATTGTGGGGGAGGCCTCGTTTGCTTGGTCTGGAACCTGGCATTGCATTATTGCTATTATTATCACCTGCCTCGAATGATATGCTTGCTAAAATTCTCATCTGAATATTGGGTCTTGCCACGGAAAATTACATTGGAAACTGCGGCTGGTTTTGTTTTTGGGACGGATTAGAGAGAGCGAGAGAGCGTAGAGAACTGTGATCTTCTCAGCTGCTTAATTTGGTGTAGCCGCAGTGACAACATTGGCATGGTATCGATAATCTTATATAGCTTTGGTTAGCTTAGCCCATTAAGATACTTGTAGCTGGTGGGAGCCGAAACTGGTATTGTAGTAATAGCTGGCCGCGTTGATGGGGTGTGATTGTCCTAATTCTCCTCAAAATGTAATTTTCGCTGCGAGTTTTTTTTTTCTTAATTGCATTGCTCGTGACTACTCTAGATAATGATGATGCTCTAGCACGATAAATTTGACTTATGAGACATAGCTCAGTACGTTCTCATCTTCAGATGCTTCCTTTTTCGATTGATTTAGGTCATTTGTGCTTGGAAGATAGCTTGAGTTGAGCCACATCACTCCAGGTTGCAACTCATTCAATCCTTACCGGCGATAAATTTCCGAACCAAGAACTTCTGCAGATCATCTGTCTCGATTGTCCTGTTCTAGTTAAACGTGTTTGGCAGAGGGCACATTCTGTGTGCTCATATTCTTTTGATGTGGCATACGGTGAAAACTCTTGGTTCTGGGATTTGTCGGTTGAGTACTTGTTCACGTGGCGCTTGACTTGTTTATCGTCAATGATGGTAATTGCTAGAAACCTGCAGAGTTGAAAATCTTTTCATTCTCTTTTAATTCTTTCTCACGGATTATCTTCCTCTATATGTTTTATGTAGCATGGTGATGCATATCCAGATTGAAGAACCAGACCATTGTGCACAGAGAGGAGACTCGGAACAACCATGGTGAGCTTAAGAAGGCGCAAGCTTTTAGGACTCTGCTCAGGTAAACTTTACTCGACCTCACTGTGTCTTTTACTGCAGTAGTCAACCATAGTGTAGGATATAAGACCTCGTTGTAAATTAGTTTCCATATTTGTAAACTACTTTACTATGACAATTCTGTAATCCCGTCCTCTGGGCTCCGCTTTTCTGTTGATATGGTTTTTTCTTGTTTCTTAACGCAGGTTGAAATATTACTTAGCTTCTTGGTTTTATGAAAGCGCTTATGTTCTATAATTTGATTTTATTGCACATGATTGATTTTCTCAGGGAAAAGTTCTTTCTTGGCTCCACTTCCCAAGTCATCCGATGGACATGCAAATGATACTCCTAACCAAAACACAAAACTTGTGACGGTGCATCCCTTACCTCTGGATGATGTCAAACCGCCAGAAGAAGTAAGAAGGCAGTCTCCATTTGTCCTTTCCTGAGATCATCTTCTCTTTGACAGCTATTATTGTGCTGGATTTCCGTTTCAAATTTGGCCATTACCAGGAAAGGAAACTCATTGGATACTTACTGTGACCTTATATTCTCCTATTTCAGTTTTCGACAATCATAGCTCTGGACTATTACCACTATCTCACGATTTATTGTACTAAACTAGTGAAGAAAAAGATTTAATTTATATAGAGAAAATGCGGTTCTAGGGTGGAGCTGTGTTTGGGACGTTGGTGAAGAGATGTATTTTTCATTAGAAGGATTGTCTCAATGTGTTACTGCATTATCAGTTCAGACATCGTATCAATTTAGTCTTTTCCTTGCATTGGTGGATGTTCTTGGTGTGAAGTTCAATCATATTGGAACTGGGAAGGGCTCAGGATGTCACTTCTCATGTGTTATAAAATCTGACCAGGACTTCCATATTAGCATAAGTATTTGGTTTCATGAATTTTCTCGATGAATTGTGGTCTCAGAGAAGGTTATATGTTGTGATTGGCCAAATGGACAGAGTACTTGCGCCTTGCGAGTCTGAGATGGCGGTGCGCTAAATCGGAACGTTGATTGCTATTGTAAACATCTTTTCAGTTTCATGCAAATCTGAAAGATGGATATGGGGTCTTGATTTGTAATTAATAACTCCATCTCTTTGTTTTGTAAAAAGGTTTGACTTACCCTGTTTGTCAGATAGAAGTCTGATGTCATCTGAATGTTTATATTCCCCAAGTTCCAAAAAAAAAGCCTTCACACATGACATCCAAGTTATATCTCTAATTGATTCACATGCAAAGCATGTGCATTTTACTAATGCTACTGTCAAATCAGTAGAATCCTTGTGATCTTTGGCGGATTTTATTTTCCCAGTAACCTGGTGCTCACACCTTCTTTATGTCATTGTCCAGAAAATACTCGCAAAATTAGGATCTGGCTCTTCCAATATTTCTGGTTCTAGCACAGCAAAAGAGCCACATAATCAAGACTTTCCAGGTTTGTTGCTCCGCCAGATTGTTCCCATTTCTTGCATTTGAATTGTCAGTACCCTACATTATTCAGATGGTCTGCTGGTTTTCAGTATACAGCTATTTTCGCTTTGTCCCCCTTATAGAAATGGATCGATTCTCAGATTTTGTTTCTAGCTACTTGACCTCAATAGGTTTGTGCTTTGATGAAGATTATTGTGCTGTACTATTGTGAGGGAATCTTTTTGATTCCTCAAATGATACTGCGCATACATTTCGACGATTTACCTCGTGTATTATGATATTCTGTATAAGTACATATTATATGATGAAAGCTTTTATCAAATGGGTTTACCTAAATAGGAACTTTCATGCACTGAGTAGCTGTCCAAGGTTCTGATTTGGATCCATTGATTCTGGTTTGATGGTTGTAGCTGCTACAGTGACCTTAACCCGCTTCTGCTAAAATGAGGATCCAGATGTTCACTTGAGGAAATTCTGCCTGTTAAAATAAACAGGACTCCTTAGAGAGATGGCAATAGAGATATTCTTTATATGTTCGAACACCATTACTGTCAATAGCTGACAGAGGTCTCACGATACGAGCCGAAAGTTTTTAAAATTCTATGCTTATTTGTATCGTATCTACATGTATTATTACACGCCCAGCAAATCACGCTAGGAAAAAGTGACAGTAATTAGAAGACAGAAATCACTGTGAGTTGAGTCCAAGATTCAACACTTCTGCATGGTTTACAGATAATACCATCCTGTAACCAGATTTGTTACCCGTGTCTTTGTTTAGTCTAAAAAATGGTGATAAGAAAAAAGGAAGCAGCATGTTGCACTCTCTCTTTGGTGTGACAGTGGTGTGGCTGAATTATTGTGACTAAATGATTGGAAGAGCGAAAAATAATGCGAACGAGTAATTCTTTTCTACTAGGTTTTACTGTTTTCACTTCGTTTTAGCAAAGTGTTTGCTTTCCTTTTACTTTTTGCTTCCTGTTTGTATTTTCTGCAACTCCTAAAAGTGATTCCAAACATTGAGCTGGCTTGCCATTTATATAAAGTATGTAGAAGAGTCTTATTAACCTAATTAATCTCATCAACTGAGCCTTTTCAGAAGCGCTTGTGTTATTTCCCTATACACTGTGTCCTTACCGGTGCCCTGTTTAATGTCCAGTGAAATGTTCTCTGGTGACCACATAACTATTTTTGGTAGCTAAAGTAACTCATTGCCTATGAAAGCTAAGTGGTAGTAATGGTAAATGGGGTCTCTTGGAGTACATGTCTCTGAATCGTAAGGTGTATGTTCGTACAGAAAGCTGTCACTCTGTCTATAACACTTCATGAACCTAGCCTGATCCCGTGGACATGCTACGAATTCATATTATAAAGACTCTTTTGTCCCCATTCATTTCTCTTTTTAAGGAATAGATCTCCTGGTAAGAGTAACTCCTTGATTGAAGATTGGTTGTTAGTTGAAATGCAGCAATTTGAATCGTGTATGCCTTTTTATTATTACGTGAAATATCAGCATGCAAATAGTGCATGCATAGTTGGCAGAGGTTTCTGTTGGAGCTTTCTGGTTCATGAACCTACTTCTGAAGTCTGAAGCATGGGCATGGGTTGCTCATTTTCAGGACAAGCGATCAAAAGGAGAAAGCGGCACAGGAGAAAACATCATCACAACCAAGAACCTTGTGTCATGAGAGGTGTGTACTTTAAGAATATGAAATGGCAGGCTGCAATAAAAGTTGATAAGAAACAGATTCACTTGGGCACTGTTGGTTCCCAAGTAGAGGCAGCTCGTCTTTATGACAGGTATGAATGGATATTGTCGTCAAAAGTACTCATCTCTACCCATTGACCATGCTGCATCATGTGTTTTCATGATATTCGTCCGTTTATTCTTTTCGGCATAGTTTATTTAGCATTGAAAAACTATGAGTAGAGTAGGCATCTCTCTCTAAGCTGACTGGATTTCCAATGATAGACATCTCCTTTAGCAAATAAGATGAGGAATATCGCTGAGAGAAATATATTTCACTATATCTTGAGTACAGCAGAGGAATTCTCTGTCACTGGAAAATTTTGTGGGCATTGGACACTTGTTTTGGTTGTTAGGAATAAGCTTAATAATCACAATAGTGTTACACTTCTGTAAGTATGCTTGGCGTTGCTAGAGTTCCATTATAGTTGATGTTTTTGTGTGGCTACGCTCTTTGTCCCGCTTTCTGATTATTTGTCGTTAAAGAGGAACCGAAACTCACTGTTCTAAGCTTGATTTTGACTTACCGAACTTGTGTTAGCCATGATTGTTTTTATTTTTATTTTTCAAAGAAGAATGCAAGAAAGTAATTATAAAGTCTTAACCTTGCTAAGCTACATGCTGCAGGGCTGCTTTCATGTGTGGCAGAGAACCAAACTTCGAGCTGTCAGAGGAGGAGAAACACGAGCTCACGAAACTGAACTGGGACGAGTTCCTGGCAATGACACGCCACGCAATTACCAATAAGAGTAATATGTTTTCTGTGCATCTCATCTGAAGATACATTGCCACTCTATTCCGCCGAATTCTTTGCTCTTACATCTCTGAGGTTTTTTCAGAACACAAGAGAAGGGTCGGGGCAGGGTCGGAGAAAAAATCCGAGCCCGAACCCGAGAATGGCGACTGGGATGGCGAAGAAGCCAATAGCTTGTCGGGTTCGGAAGAGGTGGAGCCAGACACTTCAGTCTCTTGAAAGTTTGATCCGAAACGAGGCTGAACGATCAATTTTAATGGTCGGGCTCGAGCCGGTCGGCATTAGCCTCTCTCTCTTTTTTTTTTTCCCCTTTTTTTGATCATTAAAGGTCCCTATTAGGGCATTAAATATCTTAGATTATATTTACTCCTAGCAAGCAAATTCTTGTAGCTTGAAGAGAAATAAGCTGTAATGTCAGACATGTCGCCGCTGCCGATCAATTTATAAATATATATAATTGTAGCGAGAACTCGAAAAATCATAATCTCGCCTTTCCTGAAGAAAAAGTTTAGTATTTTGCAGTTTAATTTCTTTCTCGTAGTTAAGAGTTCCCGTGAAATTTTTGTGCATCCAGGGCAAGGAGGTTTTGATTGATATAAGCTATACATTGGCTCTCGGCAATGGCTGATGGATGAGTTTGCCTGGGGATCTGGGGACACAACAATGTCAAATGACACTGTCAATTCTCCTGTGTGAGATAGTTTGCTTGCAGCTCTCAAGTAGTTTCAGCTTTTAGATGAAATCTAAAGTATGTTAGAAGTTTACTAGAAGTTCCTCAAGAAGGGGAACCTTATTACTGCCGATTCGACATGCACAAGATCTCCCAACCCTGTCCACTTATTCGGAAAATACGAGAAATAAGCAATTACCAACTTATCAGTACGGCGGGATCTTTAAGATACGAGCATCGATCACTCCTCTTTATCCTTATATCCTTATACTTATTAGAGAAGAAAATTAGACAAAATTGTGCTTAAAGATTACCAACCAATTGTGTGGAGCGTGTGGGAATGGAAATTGTTATCGAGTCGATCGGTTGAGTTTTTTTTTTTTTTTTTTTTTGGGGGCCCGGTTAAGGAGTGTTCTAAAATACATTAGCTAATCCTAAAACTAAGGCAACGATAAACGAGGCATAGTACGGCCGGGACATCACTACGCAACGCGAGGCCCTTTTTGTGCCAGTCGGTTGCTTTCCCTCCCTCCGGAGCAGCGAAAGAGCTTGGCATCATCGGACGAAAAATGGCTTCGAATCGCGATCCGAAACCCTCCCAATCAGAGCCTCCATCTCCATCACCGTCGCCGTCGCCGCCGCCGTCGCCGTCTTCTTCTGACGATTGGAAGGGTCGTGTCTTCCTCCCCGCTCTCCTCGCAGGTCCGTCGCCGTCGCCGTCTCCTCCTGGAGTCGGCATTTCCCTTTTTTCTTCTCCCTCTCTCTGCCGTTGCTTGATTTGATGGTCTCGGCGGTCGCTGGATTGCCGATTGATTTGGCGTTGGGATGGTTTGGTTTGGTTTGGGGTGGCAGGAATTGCTGGCGGCGGGTACGGGCTGGTGTCGAAGCACCGGAGAGTTCACGGCGTCGCGAATATCTCCGCGACCTATGCTGCCAATTTCGCCATTGTCATGGGTTGCTATTGCGGTGAGTTCCTCTATCGCATTTCGCTATCCGAGTCGGCTTACATACGGAGTCGGAGCTTTAGTTTTGTCGGAAACTGCTCGAGGCGATGGTGTTCCTAGATATTGTTAGTCTTAAGTTGAATGGCGTCGAGCGTTCTCGATCGGGGGCGTCGACTATGAGGAAGAAACTGGTGACTGCTTATGCCGCTTTAAGCTTCTGATTCTCCAACAAGTAGCTGATGATTGCATATACTAGAGAAAGGCTGTGTTGCTAGGGTTCATTCGCCTCTTTTCATCTACTTTCAATTCTTCATTGTCACTTGCATGACTCTAGGATGGGATGAGAGGACAAACAATGCAGGAATCAGAGGAGTGGTTACCATAGTAGAGGTTTCAAAGTGAGCGAGCGAGCGAGCTTCTAGGATTCTCAAACTCTTTCAGAATTGTCCAGCCTAATATGAGAAGTCGGGCTTCTGTACTCACGGGAGTGGAATCACAGATTTGCATTCATTATTCACGGTCCTCGTCAGATTATTCAGTCATGCTGCTAGGTGCTATGCTTCTGCAATAAGCGGTGCAGCTAGTTAGGATGTATAGTCATGCCTGGGACAGTGGTAGCTAGTTTTCCTTTCGTTTCGTCCGTGAATCATACATTGTTATTTCCATATGATCCTCTAATTTATATGTAATTGTGGCAGAACCGTCATTTGCATATGCAATTATATAGTTGATCATTTTCAGAAAGTTGGGGGTCAGTTCTCTGTATCTCAATTACCGCACCATTTGACATGCACAACTGCAACCCGAGTTGGATAGTTTTGCTGGAAAGGAAAAGATCAAGGAGTGTATGTGTACATCAATAAAGGACAGAATACTTAATTTTTTAACGAGCTCAATGTGTTTGAACCAAAGTTGATTTCCCATGATCAAAACTCTCATACTAACTTTTGCAAGGGAAGTATTTAACCAACAACAGTCTGTGTGCAGCACAATCTAGATAATGCTATGGAGTCATGACGTATTTTAATGGCAAAATCTTCCAACTATATGCATTCCATATGGGCAGGGACCCGCGAGTTTGTAAGAGTGACTCGTAAATCAGAACCGGATGATCTGTTCAACTCTGCCCTTGGTGGCTTTGCTAGCGGTGCTATCCTTGGGCGGCTCCAAGGTCAGATTTCTCTCTCTCTCTCTCTCTCTCTCTCATGAATGGGTGAGCACAATGGAGTTGGACTAAGCTTACAATTGTGGATGATTACTATCGTTCATCATATGGGTCTTCATTTTCAGGATCATCGCGACATAAAATTTCAGCTTCTAAGTTCAGGTTGATCTCAAATAGATGGGTTTAGGATTATTAGTATATTGTCTCATGACGCCAATGTTGTGGTGACTTTGTATTTTTCACCTCAGCTCCTTATTTGCTTGTCTTTTGAATACTGCATCCCTCTTTCTTGTGGGCTTTAGTAAGGTTATGCAAGGATATTTGGGTTTATCTTCTGTATAAAACAGCTTTGCTGAGAACTTCTAACGCTACAAGCTCTGTAGACTCTTAGAACTTTTTCAGTGAAACTGCCCAATCATCCTAGTATTTTTTTTAAAAAGTGTCAATGTGCAGACATTGCATCTACTGGCTGGTTTGTTCAAAAAGCCACGTCTGTTATATCATTCTTAACAATACGTGGTAATTTGGTTATCTTGCCTTTGAAAAAGGATCTGTATGTGTTTGCTTTGCAATTCCAGGTGGGCAAGTCGGAGCCATCAAGTACTCAGCTTTGTTTGCCATTGCGGGGACAGCTATGGACTTTGCTATTTTGAAATTGAGACCAATCTTGAAGGACATTGACTCGTTGAAACTGCCGGAGTGGTCCCCCATCCAAATACTTGATGAGGAACAGCTTGCCGCAAAGAAAGCTAGGGAACAGCAGCTCTATTCCCAAACAACGCTTGGTAAACTGAACAAAGAAGATTCTTGAGGAAATTGAGGGTTAGTGATAGCGTATAGGTAAAAGATAGAGTGGCTGGAGGGGAGTCTCTTTACCATGTTACCCAAATTTTAACTCAGTGGGGATCTTTGTTGTACCTGCTTTGCGAATGGTTATACTTTGGCTCACATAAAGGCAATCTCCCATCTGATGTTTTGGCAAAAGACCACTTTCTTGGAAAGCGGTTGATATTTGGATGAGCTTATCTGATTTGACTGGGTTCTATTTACAGTCGGCAGCAGCTCCTGAATCTGGTGTGTTGGTACTTGCAACACTATAGAAAGCTAGGTCCAAAGTGTAGCTCAAGTTAAACTTCAAAGGGGAGACTGATTTATGTGATGAAGTGATTCAAGGCGGGATGATCATGAATCCTCCACATGGCTTGTGCTGAAGTTTTTCACATTTTAGCTTGTGGAAACAACGATTTTCTTATTGGGTAACCGGAAAACTCTAGCAGTTCAATTGTTGAGCCCCGTTGCTGGTTTGAGCTTTGGATAATCCTAGCGACTCTTTATCCTCTCTGTTTTTGGGTTGGGGGGTCTGCCTCCTCCGGCAACTCTCGACTTTAGTCCCCATTGAATGATTTGAGTCACCAACTTTTAGGTATATTCATTTCAGAAGACCTAAGAGAAATCGATACTCTCATTTCGTAACGACCAATATCCCACCTCACGCTTAATTAAATTACTCCTTAAAAAAGGGGCTTGCCATTGCAATGTCGTAGGCAAAAGAATAGACAGTATCTAATTCCGAAGAAATAACATCATTTACAGGAAAAAGCTAACAAAAGGGAAGGCTAAAAGTAATCCTAACATGTTAACAACTTCATTGTGACGAGCTCAACACTGTCCATAAGTACTAAGATCACAGGTAAAAAGTACACCACATCAGATTAACACAAGAAAATCTAGAAGGTGCCACAGCGCAAGTACCAGCCCTCATTATCATGTCACGAGAGCAGAGAGACCAATGACACAAACTCTAACGTCACCCGGCCCTTCGACCTCGTGTTGATGACGAAGTGCTCCGGGTATTTTCTCAGCAACATAAGCAAACCATACCAAGGTTTTCCCTTGGCTTCCGGGCCAGGCCAGTCCTCAGACGTGAGGTACCTCCTGACTCGACTGTGGTGCCAAACACTGCTATACTGCTCCACCAGCTAGAGGAACAAATTCCATGAGTTAGCATAACCATAGGTCAAAAAAGTTTTTAGCAGTACATCACACAAAGTAACAAAATTCACTAAATCCAAGAAAGTCGGAAGACAAAATTCCGGAAACTATATTAAACAGTATTAATGGTATAATCATACGAGAGTATCAATAAGGGAAAACAATTCGTGAACGGTAAAGGGATTCCATGCAAGTAGCAAGAGAAAGAAGACAAATATTACAAATGACCATGACGATCAAATAAAGCATGCTTGGTACTCTGCATATCGTTTCAACCCATATTATCATGACAATCTTTTGCTAAGTCAAATGCACACAAAGAAAACACATTAGTTGCCAGGTAGCCGTGGGCATAAAGGGGAACTTACTCATGAGAAGTGAAAAATCTCATATTTCAATAAATTTTTTTGGAATCTGAAGACAGGAATTTGTCTGATCCTCCGAATGGATCAATGATGATATATCATCATCATACATCATAATTTTCTGATAGCGAAATTCAACAGCCCACTTAAGTGGAAAATGATTGTTTGAGCTGTAGACTTCATATCAAGTACTTGTTTTGGTACAGGATCAATAAACCCATTCAGAAGTTTCTTTCGGCCAAAATCAGAAACCTGGAGTCTGGAAAATAGACTTTCCAGATACAGCAACCAGTTTGTTTCGGAGACCTTAAGGCAGTTTCTGAATATTGTGAACAGGCAACTAAACCAGGCTAGCCCAATCTATCTAAAGAAAATAGAAAACAATTTGCTCTTCAAATACTCACCTCAGTATGAAGTTTCTCCATGGCCATCCATTCCCCAGGACCACAAAGATCAGACAATACTGTAGCTACAGATGATACCACATCCTTCTCTTCCAACTGCATTAGCTGCTGGTTATCAGCATCTCTGTCAATTCTCGATCTGTTGTCTCCCTTCTTCTCAGCAGGAACTAGAAATAGTGTCATGCCAAACGAAAAAATCATCACTTCCATGTGCAAGATATCGATCTCAATTGAATCTCCAACTAGGAAAAACAACAATGGTCCAGCATCTATAACAAAAAGACCAATCCACACTTTCATGACACAATTTAAAACCAATTTCAAATCTCCACAGTAGCTCATAACAGAAACCACAAAATATAAATTGGAATTACATAGAAACCAAAAGATACTATCAGCTTGAATGTATCAAGAAATGGACATTTTGAAATCTTGATTGCAATGCATTATGATTGTTGAAGCCTCAGATCACTTGGTAGAGGGGTGCGGGGGTCGAGGTTGCTCGGACTATGTAGGAGAATCTGGATAAAAATCAAAATGAAAGAGGTGATTGGATCTTGAATGCTGCTAATGAAGAGACAGCTCGATCAAAGATTTTGACCAACGGGTAAGAGAAGATGGAGAATAAAGTCACTGGAGGAGGAATAGACAGAGATTAGGAATTATTTAACTAAGAATAATAGCTTGCAAGCAGCAGCAGGATTAAAGAACCTAAGAAGTTTCCTTTCAGGTACCACTTACAATCCTCTCTACAAATAATAATAGGCTACTTGGGACAAACCATACAGGCCATGTAAGGATTTTGATGAATGCGTACAAGGACGATGGTGAACAAAAATACTATTAGGGGATCGACAACATTTAAAGAACTACAGCTTTGACTTTAAAATAGGAATAAGCAGAGACCAGGAATTGATGGTTCATTGTGCTATAAGCTTGCAAGCCACAGTAGGATCTTAGAATTCTCATTTGAGGTACCAATTACAATTACATGTAAAAGTATAATGCTCTGCTAACCAAGGTCGATTGACTACTTCATATTCCCAAGTTTTACTGAGCTTCCTCGTCCTCAATGTGTGTGTGTGTGTGTGAGAACCAATAGGATATTCCAAACAAAATATACAGGCCATCCAACATAACACCTGAAAAGAACTGCAAATTGAGAGCATAGAGACTTGACATTGTACGCAAAATCACTGGACAAAAAACAGGAAGAGGACAAACTACGAGTCAATCTCAGAAACAAGGACTACAGCCACTACCATACTGAATACACACTGTAGATTGTTTATAGTTTTGGTGTTCCGTAAATGACAGTAATGAGCAGTAGCTCTGAAAAAAAGACGTTTTCTGCAAAAAGCACACACTTATAACCATGCCTAGGTGGAGAGGTAGCAAGTGCGTGCATAATGTAGGGTATTGCAAGTAGGCAGAGAATCACCTTTTAAAATAGAAGGTTTTGTGGCAAACAGCCCTGAGCTAATTAGAAATTTATGTTCCGTCTCTAAATATCAAGCAAACATCAAGCAAAGACAGGCAAAGAGCCATCTTTTCTAATGACTGAATTATGAGAGACATTATTAGCTACATCTGTGCAGACTGCAGTTTGTTACCCACAACTCATATATCATGCCAAGGCATCGTCCTCAAAATTCAGGATAGCAGTTTTTGCTACAAAGATAATGAACAGTGAGCTCGGTTTATCTTATAGAATGGGCCAATGTGGAGAACTAAATGCATCAGCAAACCAGGCATGACACACATAACAGATGCTATCAAACTTCTCAACAGATTCTCAAAGTTCCCATTCCAGTGAGAAGCGAACAGAGATTGGAATAACAGAGATATTAGAATACAAAGAATTCCATTTTTTGCATATGGAAATAGCACGGGAACAACAAATCCTAACACTGATCCAACCACCAAGGCAGTAGAATGGAAATACATCAATCTCAGAAAAACCAACAAAGCAACAAACTTTAAGAGAAGACACCACCCTATTCTCCCCCATCTACCCCGAATCCGATTTCACAGACTTCCAATTTGTCATCCCCTTTTCCTAACAAAGTCTAGTCAAGAGTAATCAAGAAACAGGACATCACAGAGAGAGAGAGAGAGAGAGAGAGAGAGAGAGAGAGAGAGAGAGCAGAACTCACCCAGTGCCTGCTTCCCACCAGACCCACCACCAGCATAGCCACCATAAGCCCCCTCATACCCATCCCTCCTCACCCTCTTCCCACCACCACCACTTCCACCGCCACCGCCACCTTCCTCCTCCTCTTCCCCATAATCCTCCTCCTCATAAACCTCCCTCCCCCTCCCCTTCCTCCCCGCAACCACCGGCTGCGGCGGGTACCCATACGCCCCCGCCGGGGCAGCCACGTGGTGCCGGGGCCCGATCGGCCCGCCCAAAATGCTCCTCACGGGCAACAAGAAATAGAACTCCTTGTCGCCAATCTGGAGCAAGTCCTGGGAATCGAGCTTGACCGGGGGGTTCCCGGGGAGGTGGAGGACGCCCTCGACGAGGCATCCGTTCTTGCCGAGGACCTCGAGGGCAAAGCGGCGGCGGGAGAAGTCGTAGAAGATGCGGGCGTGGTGGCGGGAGATGTTCATGCCGCCGCCGAGGCTGGAGAGATCGACGTCGACCGTAGATTTCTTGGAGTTGCGGCCGAGGACGATGGAGTAGGTCTGCATGTAGTACTCGAAGTCCTCCCCCTGCAGCTTCGCGAACCCCGCCTCCACGTCGCCGCCCGTCGCGCTCATGGCTCGATCTCCGACGCTGCTGAACCCGGCGATCGATCGCTACCTGCTCTCCTCCTCCTTTTGAGTCGCGCACACGGAGAGAGATACAAAAGAGAGGAAGACGAAGAAGAAGAAGAAGAATGGTGAGGGCAATGTAGGCATTTCCATAAGAGAGTGCGAGCCGAACCGGTCGAAACCAACGGGACCGGTACTTCCGAGTTAGTGGCAGTTCGACCGGGGAAATTGGTTCGGTTTTACGTTAAGGTTCTCTTGATGGACTACGTTTGGGGGATACCTTGTAAAACAACTTTGGGATTTCAAAATCCTTATGAGCCAAATATTTTGTGCTGGGTATAATTTTTGTACTTTGGACCCAAAGCTATTTGAGGATCCAAGGCTAAAGGGAAATACCCACTGCTTTAGCTTTGAACAACTTGAGGGGTTTAATAAATTTTTTTGTCTTCCAATCTTGTCCTCAGTA